GGGGGTTCCGGCGAACCCTGAGGAGATCAACTTTGAGGAGGAAGTACGGCTTTTTGAAGACCAAGAACTACAGACCCTATGGCATGAAGCTCGAAAGGATGAACTCTACCGACAACTCACAATGTGTGTGGCTAGGGACGAAAGAAACTTGCCTACTCACCTTCAGAAGGAGAGAACTATTAGCATTACTGAGTGCACCGTGGATGAACGAGGTCTTCTTCGCTTCCGCGATCGAGTCTGGATTCCGAATTTAGAACCCCTTCGCACGAAGATCATTCAGGATATTCACGACTCCCATATCACTGGACATCCTGGTAGAGACCTTACCTATACTATTCTATCGAGACAGTTCTTCTGGCCTGGGGCTGCAGCAGATGTACGCCAGTTTGTGAGGAACTGTGAGGTCTGCGGCAGGAATACGATCTGGAGAGACACCAAGAAGGGGCTCCTCAAGCCAATGCCAGTCCCTGAGCGCATCTGGGGAGAGATCTCAATCGACTTCATTACAGACTTACCACCATCTGGAAGGGATAAAGCGACAAATTGCATGGTCATCACTGATCGCCTGACAAAGGGGGTAGAGCTAGAGGGAATGGATGACATCTCATCTGAAGCAGTTGCAAAGAGGCTCTTTGAGCGCCACTACCCAATTCATGGCATACCGACAGCAATAACTAGTGACAGAGGGCCACAGTTTGTGAGCGATTTGTGGAAGCACTTTTGCAAACTTCTTAAGGTTGAACAACGGCTCTCAACGGGATATCACCCTCAGACTGATGGCGCTACAGAGCGTATGAATCAGGAGATTGAGAAGATCATACGGATTTGGGCCACCTACACTCAGGATAACTGGCTGGACCTCTTGCCAATTGTAATGGCAAGCATAAACAACCGAGAAGCATCCTCAACAGGCCTGAGCCCATTCTTCTTTATGCATGGCTACCACAACGAACCGATCCGCCTGGTGGCAGACCGCATGACCGAGGGAAAGCAGAAGGAGGGCGAAACTCTCGCTGAGGACTTCATAAGACGATTGCAAGACGCTACAGAATGGGCACAGGCGGCCATCGCCATGGCCCAGGAGAAGCAGGAACGGTTCGCCAACAAGTCCCGTACAGCAGCCCCGAGGTATAAGCCAGGCGATTGGGTCTATCTGAGTTTGAAGAACGTAAAGACCACAAGACCATCGAAGAAGCTGGACTGGCTACATGCCAAGTACCAAGTGGTCCGGGAAGTTAACTCTCACTCCTATCAGTTGGACGTACCTGGTAGGATTCACCCAGTCTTTCACGTCGACCTATTACGCCCAGCGCCGACAGACTACTTGCCCTCACAGAGACCTGATAACACACAACCGGCACCCATTCTGGTTGATGGCGAGGAGGAGTGGCAGGTAGAACGCATTTTGGATGAGCAGTGGAAGACTGAGGAAGGCGTAAGGCGCAAGGAAGCTTTAGTGAAGTGGGTTGGTTACTCTGAGCCTACGTGGGAACCCATTGGCAACCTGCAAGCTACCGCTCAGTGGAAGCTCTGGCGCAAGAACCGCAAGAGGAGCCGCAGATAGCCCTCAACTTCTTCTCCCGGGAGGGAGGGGGGTAATGTCACGGGCCAGGGCCCATATCCTTGCGGCTGTGCCGCAAGACGTACTTGGCTCGTGCGCGCCAGGGATGGGAAATCATTCCACAGCTCAGGGGCACTTAGGAATTTCTTTCTTTCTTCTTCATCTTTGATGTAAATAGCATCCTGGACTAGATAGCTGGAATACAGTTACTAGAGGCCGTTCACAAACTTAAGCTATTTTAATAATCTATTTATTAAATTTATCTTTTTAAGTTTTTACTTTATTATACAGTTGTAGAGTAACTTATTAAATAGATATATTACTTAATTTATTTATTATTACCTTTAAAGTTTTTATAAAAACTTGAAGATTTTAATAATTATTTAAGACTTCAATAAAAATTATTTTTCCTTTAAGGTAATCTTATTAATATTTAAATAACTTTATAATAGCTATTATTTTACAGTCTAGAGTTTTATAATTTATTTTAATAAAGAGGAACTTTTAAAATTAAAAAATAATTAAATAATATTATCTTTATTTATTAAATTAAAAAGTAATTTTTAGCTATTATAAATCTAAAGATATTAGCTTTTAAATAAATAAAAAGAAATAGATCATAATACCTTAAGAATAATATCTTTTAAAAAGCTTTTATAAAGGAATAAAATACTCCTCTCTTAGCTTTATTTAATAAAATATACTTTAGTTTCTTTTTTTATACTTTTCTTCAGTAAATTACTTAAAGAAGTAATAATAGGCTAATAGCTAAGTATCTATAGATAAATCTATAATAGAAGTTACAAAATTTTAAAAATACCTAAATTTCTTTAATAATCTTAATTCTTTTTTACTTAACTATAGTTTAAACTTACTTAAGGTTTATTAATATCTCTTTAATAAAAAACTAAACTCTAAGAAATTTACTTAAGTTTAATAAGGTAAATACTTAAACAGCCTAATAAAGAGCTTTACTTTATAGAGTTAACGTACGTGATAAGCGAGTGCACCAACCAAGTGAGTGCACCACTTTTACTGTACAGCTAAAAGTCATAATTTTCAATTTCCTAAAATTAGCTATATAATTCTAGGAATTTTAGGGAATTAATTTTAGATATTCAAATAAAAAAGTCACAAGATAGTATTTTTTCTAGACTTTTTAAAAATTTATTTAGCTTTTTAAAAATAAAAATAAGAAAAAAAACAGTGTGAATAAGATTTTTTTAAATAACTTTATAAGGAATTTTTTTAAAAATCTAGGAAATTTTATTACTTTTATAAACAAACTAATAGAGGTATAGTTTAAATTATAGCCATTTTAAGCGTAGTTTAGATTTTTAAGAAATTTTTTAAAAATCGCGTTTTAAGGTGTAAAACTGCTTTGGTGCACTCACTTGGTTGGTGCACTCGCTTATCACGTACGTTAATTAATTATCTATTATAGTTATTTTATATAAGATTTTTCATTCTTTAAGTAAATAAATATATTATTTAAGTAAGCTATATAAGCTATCTTTATTAACTTCCAGTGAGTTTAATATATATTATTCTAGAAGGTTATTAAAGTATTAATAAAGCTAAATAATATAACGTAGTTCACAAGCGAGCGGGACATACAGGCGAGCGGGACAGTAAGATTTACACCTTAAATCACGATTTTGAAAAATCTATTAAAATTCCAAACTAAGCCTAAAATAGCTATACTTTTTTAAAATAAGCTTATTACGATACAATCTATAAGTAAATAAACTTCTAGGAATTCTACTTAACTAGAACTCTTATAATTTAAGAAAAACTAAAAAGTGGGTCTAAAATAGACCCACTTTTAGAATTGAAGAAATAAATACCACCATAGAAGGTTGTTCTATATCTATTTCTATTACCTTACAAGAAGACTTAAAACTCGAAGAGATTAGATGATTAAGAAGAGTGGCTAAATGATGCTTTTCCTGATTTTCATTTCTTGCTTCTCCTTTGAGCTTATCAAGGGAAGTTCTTTTATTCTTTTCTTACGTTTAGTATTAAAAAAACCATTCTGCTTCTTATTATTATTAAAAGCAATTCTCCCCTTAGTTACCTCATATTTACTACAGATTTTAAATCTCTTAAGACCTTTATTGAGGTATGAAAGCTAATTGTTATAGTCTTTGTACGTTAACTCATCTTCATCTGCCACAGCTAGTCCCGAGGCGCTTCCCATTACGCATTTGCGTTGTTACCATGGCTTTGAACGTCATTTCTGTAGTGACAGAGGTGTGTATACTAAAAAGAGTGGCCAACGTCTAGTGAAGCTACGGAACCCTTGGGGAACGCTCCGTATGGGCATCTGGGAAGGGCCGTGGAGTGGTGGCTCGATGGAGTGGCCTGAGGAGATCCTAGAAAAGGTTGGGCATGTCTTTGGAAGTGACTCCTTTTTCTTGATGTCTTATGAGGGTCTTCTAGACAGATATAGAGACGCCGTTACTTGGAGAGTTAGTGGATGGCTGAAGAAGCCGAGTTGGTTGAGCTCCAAATAATTTGAGGTGTTCTTTGTCTGTCTCAATTCAGACGGTGACAAGCTCGCCGTTGCCCCGCAGCTCGCTTGCTTATTGACTATAGTAGTTTGTGGCTGACTCACCACATAAAACGGGGTCAAAGCCGACATCTTTGCGGAATACTTACGGCTCTTTCAACACTTAATTCCTATGCTTGATGTGACTAGAAAGCTTTACGTAGTGACTGTGTGACACATCTAGGTGCTTACGTTGAATCGTCAACCGAGCAAGCAGCAGCGGAGAGGTTTGTTTCGGCCGCTCGTGGTATGACGGCGAACCCTGCAAATACCAACCAGCATTTCTCCATCTGAGGACCGACGGTTTGTAAGCACGGGGAGGGAGAGGTTAAAAAAGAAAAACAAAAGAAAAGAAAAGAAGGCAGTCCATGCTAGGGGCGAACACAAATTTATTTCAAACTAGGTTCTGGATCCATCGCACCTGAGCGGCCATCCGGCCTTTTCTCCCACGTCGAGTCCTAGAGCTAACCAGCGCCGCGAAACCAGCAGTAACCATAGCCAGCGAAGAATTATCTCCGAGCACAGCCGCACGAATAGTGTAGTTTGAGGGTCCCTTTACCCACCCACGGGTGTTTTGGTGCTGCAGTTAATGATTCCTTGTAAGGAGTCGATAAGTTAATTCGCCGCCGTGAATTCATTAGATGATTCTGGAACGGAGGAAAGTTCCGATGGCCACGCGGTGATTCGCCGTTCAAAGACGTTATGTAGTTTGCGGCTAATAACACAGCTCGACTGGAGGTTCCCATCTTGGCTTGAGCGTGATGCCCTTGCCAAAAAGTAAGTAGCCTGGATGTTATGTGCGTATTCGGACGCTACATCTCCAAACTTGTAGGTCTTGAACCCTAGTCAAAGCTGTTCTAAGGCGCCTTCAGGCCATTCAAGATCTTCTTATATGAAATAGTTCGTGACAACGTCGGCGCAATAAGCCATGTCTTGCTCCAACTCCCATGTTGGGGAGACGCGGTCTTTCCACTTGACCGCAAGATAGCATTCCCCGTTGCTTAACTCACAATGTCCTACGATGGTTTCGAATTTGTATTGCGGCTCCGGCGAACTGAAGCGTGATGGCTGAGGCGAGTCCTGCCACATCCTGAGACCTGTTCCATCGTCGAATACCCATAGAAGGCATTCGGTACTCAACCAGTCCCAAGACTCACCGTCCTGAGTCTCTGCACGAACACCGTAAAAGATCCAGCCGTCTACTTCGGTGGTAACAAGAACTTCCCTTAAAATGACATGAGCCGACCAAGGAGTTTCTATTGATACCCCTTTGTCAAGGCTTCGCGGATGGACTGGGACTATCATCGTCCTTGATCGCACATACACAACTAGGCTATGGCTAAAACGGCATGAAGATGGCGAGCCAACAAAATGGTTATACAGAGCCTCAGGTCAAAGAGTGTGCGGGATAAGTCGAGGGAGATGATATAAATAAGATTCTCATACCCTTAATTGCCCCACAAAGGCAGCGGAACATGGAAAGTCTACAGATTGACTGCGGTGGACAACTTCGGCCCTTCAACAAGGGCGAAGGTCCAATTTGGCTCCACTCAAGGCTAAACTGACCGCGCGATACTGTAGTGAGCAGTGTGAAGGCTAGATACAGAGCAAGGGTAATTCTACTCAACAGGACCCAAATCGACCACGATCAAAAGAAGGCCGGAGCAAAGAGACCGAAAAGACGGGTTCCTAAGAATCGGCTGATAAAGTGCGATTGGAAACTCGAGAAATGTAGGGAGTTCTATGAGGGGAATAGTCAGAAGAACACCACCCCAAAACTTCAAATGGGAGGGGATAAGCATATTGGGTTTTTCTCTCCATTGTCGCAAGCGATTCAGGGCCTTGGGATACGACGTGGTAGGTCTATGGCTCCGCTAGTCGACTGCTCGCGACAAAGGTCTCCACTATCCGGCGAGAGAGGTTCTTTGTTGACCTTCAGTGCCAGTACCTCCAATATCGGCCCTCAGAGCGGTAGATGCAGTGCATATGATGTTGGTACTCGAGCTTCCTTGAGGTATATCTTCAAGACAGTGCTACTCCACAAATGGAAGGATTAGTTAATGAGAACACTTGACACCGCTCTTATACAGCATTACTGCTGCCATTCCACAAGAGTACAGTAGTCGTACTATATGCAAGAAAAAATGTGGACGGTCATGGTGGGATGGTATCAATGTAGCTCTCAAGCGACGCCGATTCAGCAATGAATACACAAGGCATGGGTGGGTATGGATGAGAAGGGGCGAGGTTGAGTACGATGCGATCGTATTCTTCCACGCGAATGCCAAACCTCGGATCGGAAGCAAAAAGTGAACGGAGTCGTGCATCTTCTTGACATATGAAGGTCACTTTACAGGGCGAAGATCGAGAGAGCAGGCTGATTATCAATGTCCATGCATCAACGTACCACCAATTACATATATTAATACATGTTTTGTATTATTTTACAGTCTAGTGTGGGGAATCTACCTGTAGAACAGAGGTAGACCCGTCCGTGAATAGAGATGAACACCTTGACTTCAGCCATGGGTTTGGCCCTATGTCGCGTCTTCGAAACTCGATCAACGGAAATCTTGTAGGACAAGGGGTACTGGAGAAAACCCCACAGCGACAATAGATGAAGTGGGGCAAAAAAACGGATTGATTGTGTGTTTCAGCTCATCAACTCATCAGCAGGCTTACAAGTGTTTAAAACGCACTTGGTCGGCCAGTTCGCACTTACCCTGGAATGGTTGCGCCGCCGATTTATGAGCGGTTCGATTGACTGGTCAATAAGTGCTAGGTGGATTTTGCGATACGGACTGTTGAATGGCAACGGCAGATGATGCCTGGTATATCCTAGAGACAAATGATCATGCGTCAACTTTCGAAATGCTCGAGGCACGCTTTGCTGGTCAAGCATTGTTGGGACAAACTTGATGCAGTTCCATCCTCCTTGTAGATGCATCTAATTGATCTTTTCGATGTAAGAGAAATAATTTGGGCGAAAAAACCGGGCCTCCAGAAGCCTTGTTCTGTGTGATGGATGAGGTAGGCCCATATCTAGAAAAGCTGTAATCTACATCGCTGCCACAGACCTAGACACCTCTATGTCGACTTTTTTTGTGATTACGGTCTTACACTGTACGGATTTGAGAGTCGGGCGTTTCTCTGCGCACACAGATGTCCAGTTCCCGCTTCTCGTGATATTCTGACGAGTAGCTGCACTCATCGGCAAACGAGGTTGATTTTCAAGAAATGCCCGTTCTCGGAAGTCACCCGATGCAACGTCATTACCATCCTGGGCATCTTTGTCCTTGTGTCTTATGGACGTGAGAAATGAGGGATAAAGCGGCCGCAGCTTCGGCCGTATCCAACCCCATACCATGGGGATACTAGAGGTGACAACTGCCACGAAAGACTCACGCACTGCCCAGGATGCCGCTTGTTGAGGACCGGTAGTAGGATTCTGATTTCGCATCCGTCGATTTAGTCAAGACTGCGTGGTTCATGGTAAGGAAACGAGGACGAACCTTGAGAATGAGAACACATCGGAGAATACCAGCGACCATGACAAAGACGCCGCCCGAGAAAAGAAGCACAAGCATGAGTTTCTTGAATTTTGGGACTTTTGCTTTCCAAAGAACTGGAATAGGAATGGCCATGAGGTAGATGTCTGTGACAATATTGAGAGTGACGACGAGAAAGATGAGCAACTTTGAGGAGGCAGGCTGGCAGAGGTCTTTGAAAAGAAGTGTTAGTAGACGTAGGTGTTCTGGCGGAAAGGAGGAACAGCTAACTAACTTCCAGGGTCCGGATCTATTTGCCAAAGGTTGTGGAATGGCTGGCATCCGAAGAAAATGGAAGCCATGATGGCAATGTACGTAACGGCGATGAGGACAAACCCTACGTTAATGCGAGTCCGGTACGCCCTCAGGCCATTCTGAACGTCAAGGTGTCAGCCTGTTCTAGGTTTTCTGGCAATGGTTAAGGCCATTTACCGTCAGTCGAATATAGAATGCACACATGGCACTCTTGATAAGCCAGAGAACAGACGCATACACGGCCCAGCCTGCAATCTGGATTTTTGATCCATTGACTCTTGATGATTTCTTGGTGTTAGCCCGTCACACTATTGAAGCGCACATGATTTGGTCGCGTCGGGATTGTACATGCCTCCACTTATATTCTTCACTGCCAGGTGATAACGCGGCGCGTTGTTCATCAGTCATCGCGTTGTTGGCGAGACCGTAGAATCGTGCCCCAACCGTGTATGCGAGCACTATCTCCGTCGTGTACGGTATAATGACGAGTAGCATAAGATAGTCGTCCATCTTTAAGTTCCGTATGCCCTCCTGCTTAGCGCGAGCGTATGTTCGGAAACCGATGACGACGATGCCAAGTGCAAGAAGTGTAAAAGCTTCTGCAGCGAAGGAATGTAGTGCAGCCATGACACGCAAGATCTGGAGCAGAAAATTCAAGGCAATGGCGAAAAAGTGCAGGGCCAAGACGATCGTATCATCGGCGCTACCCACGGGGGTATTGTGATCCTTTTGAACAAGTCACCAACGGTGGCTCGGAGCTGATTTGAGTGCCTCCTTTTTCGAACCGAAACGGTGCCTGACTATTCGAAGAAAGATATAAAGCCATTTGATGCGCTGTGGTATTTTTGACCGTTTCTTACCAATCGTTGATTTCCAGGTCATGTCGGTTGCGGAGCAAACGGTCAAAGTTGGCCCATGAATGTTTGCATTGCGACTCATAGGTGATCAGTTTGTAGCAGGTAGACCAACAATCGAAAGAGTCAATCAGCCTTATATGGACGTTAAGTAGCCGTCGTATGTTTACCTGGAAGGGACACACTGAAGCTCAATAGCGGCTGCTTCTTGCTCTCCTCTTGAAATTGCTGTAACCTCCGGTCAGCTTTGGTCACCAAACCCTGAGCGCAACTCCAGCGAAACCATTGATGGCTTCAAGTTTGTACGGTATATCTGGCCCATATGGCCATCTCGATTCAGTTCGTGATGCCGCTGGCAATTTCGCCGCAAATGCTCTGCACATCAGCGCCGCCTGTATCAGACTGCGCTACCAGGTCCTGAGGCAACCATGCTAACAACATAGCCGAAACCGACCCCCCGTTGACCGCACAGGATGTTGCGAGAGTCTGTACATACCGAATGACTAATTGTTCAGGCGCTCCACTAGCCAACCGCTAATTCTAAATGCGACAAATTTGCCAATGGGTGCTGGGTGGTAAGGCTTACACGCAGGGCTTGCGAAAAGGAGGAGCGGGTATATTGCGAAGAGCTCTCTACTAAATTCCGCTCGATGGGACATTATGGAGAGATAATTATGAGACAGTAGCGTTGCTGCTAAATAAGGCATGTCGCGACATGCGTGGAGACCAAGTTCATTGAAACCCTGAGTTGAAGGACTGCTTTGGGCATGTCCCAACTCCAAACACGTGGTCAAATCGAATAACACGCCCATAACTCACAGAACACAAGCAACATCTTCGACGGCCATTACCGTAGTCACTGTATTTCGATGCCGAACGCGTTCAACGCGTTCAAGATGGTCTCATCAATCCCTGAGTCTAGAGGAATCTTATGATGCTCGAGACTATACTACCATCAAGAAGCAACAATCACATTAATCCCCTGAAGCTGAGTCAAACGTCATCAAACTAACTCCAGCCAACAAGTCCCATCAGCTACTGGTCCAGGTCCTCACTTCGTTAAGCTGAAGTCTATACCTTTGCTCACCAAACTTGGTTCGTTTGAGTCAACAGCTCACGACCCCCTTGTTTACGGAAGGTAGGCAACCATCGACGTCAAAACACACAGCAACGCATTGCCGAAAGGTCGGAGTATAGTTATCTTGTTAACACCTTAGATCCACAGCAGGCCAAGTGCGTCTTACCGTCCAACTAGGTCTGAAAGACGGGGTGTCCCTGTACGACGAGATAGCACTAATACCAGCGTCACGGACTTGCATGGCTACCTTTATCGAGGCCCTTGGTCTTGTCCTATTTCTACTCTATCACCAGTCCGTCGACAAGAAAAGTTGAGCCGGTATCTTTGACTCAAGACGAACAGGTTGGCTTCCCATGCCTCCTAAGAGGGATGGCATCTAGGAGTCTTCGGAGAGAGACTTTGAGATTTACTCCTGGCGTAAGTAGCGGGCCAGGGGCCGTCGTACCAACTCATCGAGAGTCAAGCGCAGCCTGCTTTGAGGGTAAGGCTAATCTCCTTCTGTAATTTGGAAAATGCGTGATGGAGTGCCTGGGAGCTACGCATATGCAATTAGGTAAAGAAGACTGTCGACGTAGTCTAGATGAAAAGCGTACACATGTTGTTGTCGCGGACCAGGATTCATGGATGAATCAGAGGTAACAGAAATAGCCGGAACTATGAGGCGCATGTATGCTTGTATTGTTGCAGTAGGCCTTTCTTCGTTACCCGCCTAGGAATCTCTGCAAAATCGATTCTAAACTTGTTGAATTTCCTCACGGAACATGTTTGGCATTCTCATTTGCGTAGATAAATAAATGACGTAATAATCATCACCACGACGAATGCGGAACGCGCAAAGCCTGCTATTCTATGCAAGCTCAACAGCACTATGCAACATACTCTCCTACCAAAGCCTAAAACATGGCCCTGAAAGGCAAGCCAATACTCGACTCGCACCTAATGGACCAGCCTTTTGCAGCGCCGCCGACAGCTTGTAGATACTAAGTATCGTTTGTGTACTTCGCAATGGCAGACGCTCAGATGTCCGTGCCTTACCACCACCGCAATCCCAAACAGTTGCCACAAAGTACCAGTTGTGTTTGGTCATGATGATGCCCAGTAAGAACTCGATTCTGGAGAAAATGGCTGGCGGCTCCACGGCTAAGCTATTCTCGATTATGTCGATACCATCTCCTCCGCTTCATGATAATCCAGAACCGACTCCGAATTAGCTCTCTTGCGGACAGTTGCTACTATACACAAGAAGTCTTGTGGTCGTCTATGATGTCATCCTTTTCGTCTGTGTTTTTTTCTCTTCTACGCCCACATGGTGTAAAAGCTCACGCGTTTCGTTCAGCATTTGTCGAATGAGTGAGGGAAGGCCGAACCTCGCAGTGTATACCAAAAGGATAAGGGCCAAGGAATAGCCTAGAAACAAAAGCGTACTCAGAAAGATTGAGTTGGCCTGGCACTGTCTTGCAAAGGGCGAAAGGCTGGCTGTCGACTGGAATTTGCGCCCCCACATGCACGTTAAAACGGCTGCCCTGAGAGATAACGTGGTGAAAGCTAAGAGAAGCACATTGAAGGCACCCGAAGCATAACTCAACCACCGATTGTAGGAGGCTTTTGGGATGCTGAAGTAGGGAATTATCCCCCAGATCAGCGCTGTGAGAAATATTGTGTCGAAGATGAGGTATGCAAAGACTTCTCGCGCTTCGTGAGCAAGCTCAGTTCCATCTAGGACAGGCCAAAGGCGCTCATGTGTGACCCAGGCAAAATAAGCCATTGTACCTGGCAATCCCGGAAAGAGCCCAAGGAGGATAGCTATTTCAATCACAAGCAGGACACATCTGAGTGCGTACTCTGCGAGTACGGCAAGGGATGACATCACTACCGCAAGGCCAGAATTGACTCTTGACAGCCATTCAGGCATTTTGGATAGTGAGGTGCTCTCAGGGAGGCTCTGGTTTGGCGGGTATAGTGAATCTTCCAAAATCAACAACGCTTTGCTGGCAACTGTTGTAGATTGCAAGCAATGCACCCAGCATCTCGGAGGTCGAGACTATAACAGTGGAAGCGAGATACACTTCTCACGGACAAAATGAGCTTTCCCTTGAAATTACACAATGGAAAGAAGTCCAAAAAGGACTGGATAAAGGGAAAGTTGAGACCAACTGATACGCATCATCTACGGACGTCTTCTGATTCGGGCATATGACAATACTGTATGTATCTTGTACTGTATTATACAGTACCGTAAAATGTAAAGGAGTGTTGCAACATCAAAGCGGTTTGATTATGACCACAGCAGACTATTATTATGGGTCATCCCCGAACGCCTCTCTCAACCTGACTCTCGCCCGGGTTCGCCGCTACCTTCGCGACCGCCGTAAATCCTGAGGCCAATATTGAAGGGTAAACTTCACCAGATACAGTACAGTACAGTCGGTTCGACTAATGAAACTCTTTGACCACAGACCCTACTGTGGCTGTGTTGAGACCGTATGACTAAGATGGTCCGATCTGCTGGTGGCAGAGATGTGGATACTATGTAATGAGCTGTGCTCCTCACAGACACACGTAACTTACACCTTTTCAATATCACCTGTAACCTTTTCGTTTTACCAGGCTGACGCGGCCGGTACCGTGCATCATCTGATGCTTGGTTAATTGGAGGGCTGATAATCGCCATCGCGACAGCCGTCAATTTCTGCTTATGCCTTCATTATAGGTCATCGCTGGCGTTCCTACCTGCAATACACGAAGCCAGCATTTACACAAGGCAGGTCTTTCGTTTTGCGGGGACTTTTTCGGGTCGTGACAATTGGAAGTCTCAGTAGGCTGTACTTCGTTTGCGGAGACTCTTCTACGTGTCGCTCAGGTGGTAGTCTAGAACTGGACGGAAAGTGTGCGTCAAGATGTGCTGCGGGCCTGCACAAACATGGGAGGACGTTCTGGGGATTGATCCTTTGTCCATTTTTGACATCTTGGCGATTCCCAACGACCCACGTAAGATAGAGTCGCAACCGAAAGAACGGTTTAGGACAACTTTCAATGTCGTCTGCAACGGCGAGTATTACCTCGCTTGATAGTCTTAGTCTATCAACCCATGTCGATGAACATCGGATTGTAGTTTGGTCCAAGTTCGTCATCATAAGCCACGCCTACAAAGGGAAATTTAGACTCAGCTATAAAGATGCCTTATATTGACCCTTGCGCCGCTTGCTCCTTGAATCATCAAGGCATGGCCCATATCTTGCTACAATGGAGCTACACTTCAACACCACGTTTGGGTACGCGTTGGGATTAAGTGGTTTACTTATCGCAATGGCTCTACGCCCGTTTATCCTGGGAGTTGTGCGATTGCTATTTCCACCAATATTCACAATGATCTGGAAGCTTCGGCCGTTTACGCGATTGGCAAAGAGAACATCGGACTGGGTAACGAAACACCTCATCTATCGAAGTTTTCTTCGCAGTAGGAGCAGTGTGGACGCCTACAGTCGGGCTCATGCCATGTTTTTCGCTTCGTGTTTTGCGGCAAACCTTTGCTGCATTTTCTTCCAAGTGCAGAGCTGGTCAGAAGCGTGCTCTCGAGCAGGTACGATGGCGATGATCAACATGCTTTTGCTCTATATTAGCCCATGCTTCGGCTTCGTGGCCGACATCCTGCGCCTCCCTCTTCGAATCTACCACCAGGTACATGCCAGTGCGGGCTATATGGTGGGAATATTAGCCAGTTTCCACGCTGTCGGGACAGTGGTAACCAAAGGAGGCTTTGCGGTGAACAATATTCGCAATCTCTTGGCTGTTCTTGTAAAACACTTCACTACGTCATCAGCCTTAGTAGGGTACTAACTTTTGGTAGGCTATGGGTGGAATTTGCCTCCTGTTGATGCCTATCTCCTTCTTCGCCAGGATATTGCCGTACGAGATTCTGCTGTTCATTCACCGCACGATGTCGCTGATGTTGGGCTATGCGATATGGCGCCACTTGCCTACTAAAGAGCTTTTCCCTCGACTTTATCTATATATTATTGGAGGGGTCTTCTCCTTAGCTATGGCGGTCCAAACGGGGATCACTCTTTATAGAAGCCGTTGCCGGTTCCACAGAGCCGACCTGTCTTGGAGTAGCAAACCTATCATCCAAGTACTCGTCCGTCTTCAGAGTCGATTGAAGGTTGAGCCTGGGCAATACATCAACTTATGGATCCCTTCCAGCTTGCTCTCAACACTGCAAATTCACCCATTCACCGTCGCCTCTTGGTCCCCGGATGCTGCAGAAACACTGGTCATCTTCGCCGAAATACGCAAAGGCTTCACTAGCAGCCTACGCCATCAGGTGAGATTTGGAGACTCGCAAAGTTTTGCGATGTTTACAGGGCCTCACGGCTCAAGGCTTCCTGTTGATAAGTATGGCCATGTTCTGCTGGTCGCCACAGACCTCGGTATCGTAGCTCTTCTACCGTATTTGCAATGGTTAACTCACGCACACCACGCTCACCAATTAGAAGAAGGGACCAATAGATTCAAGTCATGTAGGAATATACACCTTATTTGGCATTTGTGCGACTGGGGTAAGTGGTCTGTTTTCAGCGTTGGCCCTTTCTAAATTGACGAGTCACAGAGGTATTCGTGGCCGTGTCCTACTTTTTGAATGTAGCCTTAGCAGAAGACGAGCTAAGAGCAACAAATCCCTGCAAGATATGCGGCACGGAACACCGATCCATTATCAAATTAACTGTTTATGGGGAAAAAAGTGCTATAGGCCAGGGCGAGGGCCACGGTGCTGCGAATGCGAAAAAGCTTGCGAATAGTGTAAGAGGAGATATCCATTGGGAACCGATGGACCTACCATCAATATTGGATGAGGAACTATCATCGATACTGGATGACGAAACTGTGTCGGGAGCCACTCGCGATGTTTCCAGGAAACCGTGCGCTGTCGCTGGTAAGTCAGCTAGAACAATCACGGTCCCATGCTAACCATCGAGATAGCATCTGTTTCACGGAAGTTCAGGGATCAGCTAACGAACGCTGCAAGAGAAAAGTTGCGTCACGTCGACCTCATGTTTACGGAGTACCAGCCTTAAAGAAGTATCGCCCGGTAACTTCGTGGCAGAACGTAGGCTGGAATGGGTGTGTCACAGGATCCCAAAAGTGAAGTTAAATGCCCAGGACGCTTCTGGCCTCCACGCTCATTACACGAAGCTTCCTGTGCATTTAGCAGAGTTTAGCAGTACATAAGCCCGAGGCTGATCCCTCGGTTGGGGCCTCCCTTAGTTAGTAGCTCAATTCTATTGTCTCGTTTGGCCGCGCCCGTTACGTTCACCCTTATCGTAGGCCTTCGTCCTAGTAGAGCTAGGTTTGCTGAAATATATAGGTGAGATGAATGTTAAATTCAAGTAGATACACAACAGATGGAGGATGGAAAAATAAGACCACGAGAAATAATGTGCCTTTATACAACATTTAAGAGGGCTCAAGGCGCCGCCTATTTCGAGAGTACATACATCGTGCGATGAAATGTCCAGTCCTCCATGATTCTCCGAATTAGACGATAAGTGTAGTGCATTGTGCTAAAGGAATAAACCGGCCTAACTTCCCTTGACGCCAACTGAGGATTTGGTCAATCCACGTCCGTTGACTCCGAGTATCGTACCAGCCATCTCGTGGTATAGCGAACCAAGTGCAAAAGCATTTCGAGCGAATGTGGTTCACCAGCTTTTGCCAAGAGTGGATGCTTCATACGAATCAGCTTGTGTTCAGAAGATGAAAACTTTGCTTACCCGAGAGACTCGCTCCATCTGATTCTGACCAGGCGTGAAGTTGACCATTGGTCCCGCTACGATGTCCTTTGTCGAATTTTTTAGCTCCTTTGTTAGCTCGAAGAAGTCGACCACGTCCTTGGGAGGCGTCCAAATGCCGTAACTAAATTTATCAGGATTGACCTTCTCTTCGCGACCTGCTATCAGCTGCGCCGTCAACAAGCAGAGGCCCTCGCTGAGATTATGAGATGAACGCTGGCTACATTGTTGTTGACCCCCTGAAACAGTTAGCCCAGTTGCCACATAGAACTCATGTTGGGGTGGTTCACAGATCTTCACGTGTCCCCCATGATCTATCAATACGTTCGAACATGTCAATTTCGGGTGGCCCCAATCGTGCTGTTCCAGATATAACAGGCCATTCACGACCTTTGCCTATTACAATCAACTCTGGCGGACGTACATAGCTAAAGACTGACCTGCTTCAGAATGCATGCCAGTTCTGACTCATTCAGACGCCTGTTCACGACCACTTCCTGAAGAGAAAGCGGTACAAACTCGAAGGCTACCGTAAGGTCATCCCCTGCCCCATAGACTGCGAGAGCTTTGACGAAGTTTTCGTGCTTAATGGATTGTACCATAGCTACTTCATCCCGGGCGTTGGGGCCAGAAAGATTCCAAAGCAGCGCACCCTGCGTATTCTTGCTAGATGTGGCGGGTCTTTTCTGCGCTACTGCTATATTCTTGTTGGAGCCTAGAGAGATACGGAAAAATACTCGATAGTGTTCCCGTGATGAAATTCCATCGATCTTATCTAGTGCTCGTGCACGAATTTCGCCGTCGCCACGGACTGCGTTCTCCGGCTTGAGAAGTGGTCGTGCTTTCCTCCTGGTCACTTGCGCAGCAGATAAGTTCTTCGCTGTAGAAGACGCTGCATTCTGCGATGGAGCCTCTGAAATAGATTCCAACTGGGCAGCGGCTGGCGAGATTACGAATCGTGTTCGGCGTTTTCCGTCTTCAAAGCTCATTATGCGGTGATTCTTGGGCTGTCAACAAACCTCGCGCGTGATGAGGACTAATAAAGGATAACGAACTTACTATAAACGGCTAAAATTGGCTGTCATGTAGTCGTTCATGAATAGAAGCAATTGTTGTTATGTCGGAGCTAGCCTTTTTCAGTGTCCAATTTCAGTCACCTTCCATGGTCTATATGTGATCCCTCCTTCTTCGGCGGGTTTCCAGCCCATTTGGTTCGCGGTTCCTATTTTGTCATACATTGAACGCTGGCTGGTGAATACATTGCTCACCTCCCTCCCTATTTCGTTCCTTCGCTCTGATTTACTTGCTCTGATAGAACAACATGGCCCTCCCCGCCCGGATGGAGCGACTCAGTGATGAGAACGAGCAGAAATTCCTGGGTACAGCCAGCATTAGATTCGAGGCTCTCGACTTCTCTACCTGCAGAGAGGGGATTCTCGGCGGCGACGAGCCTGATTGGGACTATGTTGATTGCTTGAAGGAGACGATTCGGGGCGGATGCAGCTGGTCTCCCGGTCAAATTTCGGCGTTGATTGACCGTCGTCAATTTGAAGAGGCTCTTCAACATAAAAGAATTGACGGAGATACGCTCAACTTCGATGCGGGTACTCGCGTCGAGTGCCTCGGAGGGTTGCACGAATATCTTGCCGCCGATGCGGTATTAGCAAACGAGCACAAGCGCTGGCGCATTTGGCTTTACTCATCAGGTATGCTGCTTTCGCCGGGTTTGATTAGGAGGCTGATATGATGGCGCCAGATCTTAGCGAAGACGCGAAGAGTGACTTGATTGACGAACATATAAACACAAGGCAGATCAGCGATGCAGAGTTTTTCTATAGAAGCAGCCTACATTGGCGGAATCACAGACACGATATTCCACCACCTCCCAACAAGTGGCTGGCTATCCTAGCTCGCAGATCGAAGGGCAAAGCGGCAGAGATCAAACGACTCTTGAGCGATAGTGATCCTTTTATGGTAATCTTTGAAACGTTTCACGAAGTTCCTGCGTTGTTTTGGGGTTTCAGGATTGGGCAAGTGGGCAAGATGAAAGCCTCACTATGCCGGCCAGTAAGTTTCCAGCAGTTCTAAGCTACTCCCCGTGACTGACAGCCAGGAATTGCTGTCGTATTTACTGCGAATAAAATCATTCTGGTCCAACATATGTCTGGGAGATCCACACCAAATCAAGAACATTGATGTGGCGACAGTAAAAAAGTGTAGCGGCAAAGCCCCAAGAGCCAAGATCGAACATAAGAAATTACTTCAAGGTCTCTTCGATAGTCGAACGATACTAGGAAAGTTCGGCGACGAACAGCGGGATAAGATTTGGGAAGAATTGTGCAAGGCTACCGAGGATCGATTAGTGCCGACACTGGAGGGTTTCTTTGGAAATCTCGAGTATTTAAGACAAGTTACCGGCTGCTTGAGGAGGCTTATCGATATTAAAGAGAGCCCGCCGCAAATTGGCTCCGTTTGCTTATCTCGGGAGGACATGGAAGACAAAATCGCGCTTAGAAGATTCGTCGAAAATAGCGGAAACTCGTTGCGGAACGGCTTCTCTCAGAAATTTCGAAAAAGCATGGAAGACGAGTACTTGCTCCAAGTATCCGAGAACCACTACAAGCTGGTTCGAAATGGAGACGTTAACCAGTTCGAACTAGCCTACAGACATCTCTTACTCTTCGCCTTCCGCGAGTTCCCAGCCATGCCGTGGCAAGCAAAGAAGAAACTAGCGGGAGCAGAAAACACTACGGATCCAATGATTCTGTTCAAATTTGCCATACTAGCCCATAAGCTGGGCGTTCGATCTGACGAGATTGGCGACATCCTTCGCCAAAGACCCCAAGCTCTGGCGTTCGGGCAGCCTGATAGTCGCAGTCCTCCAGGTATAATTTCGGATCCTGCCGTTTATGGAAAACCTACACCTTGCGATCTGGCCCAATACAAAGGTTCGATATTTCTACCCGGCTTGCATGGGCCTGCCACCGGGCAAAAGTTAGACTTTGACTATTTCTTTGTCCAGCGCTCACTCTACCTTGACTTGATGCATCTCTTCCCACTTAACGGCATCGAAACTTTGTTAGACTCTGCCGTTTCCGAAATCGAGTATCACCTTCTTGACGGCGCCTTTCAACCAAACACAGAAGACGAGGATGTACAAGAAGCTGAGCGGACACTATCACAGCTCCAGGAAGAGGCCAGGCGGTTGAAGAACAACATAGAAAGTCAAGAAGCGGAAAAACGCGTCCTTGAGCTGAAAGTTGAATCACTTCGTCGGCAGGCTGAACAAGAAGGGAAGAAGCTCGAGAGCGCCAAAAGAGAAGCTGAAACAGAGCTCGCAGAACTATCTGAGACGCGACAAAAGAAACGAGACCTCGAATCCGAGTTTCGTCGACTGACCCAACAAGCCAAGGAGTTGGTAAGTTAGCCATCAGCAAAGATGTTCTTATTGCTGACCCCTTACCGATAGAGAAGAAGAGCACATGTTCACGGAACCACTTCTATAAGGAGTCAAGAATTGGTGTCAGAGATTATACAGGTAAAGGAAGAAGACAGCTGCGGCTATCAGAGAAGCGGACACTAATTTTCGCAGGATGAATCTGCTTCCAGTGACAACAGTGACACTCAGACTGGCCCCTTGTCACCTCGGTCATTTCGAGTTAGTTGTAATGAGGACAGGTTGGCAGCCCAGGTCCAGATCAAGAACGGAAAGGGGTCAATTGAGTACGTAGAGATTAATATGACTGAGAAGGAACTAAAAGCGTACTTGATTGCGTGTCAAGGGAAGGGTTACAAGTTATTTGATGGGTGCGACGGGGTACTTACGCCTGATTCATGTTTCGGGGTGCTCAAGAGCGAGTTGCCACAACAACCCATCCTGGTTTTGAAACCAGAATTCGAGGTCGGCGAGGCGAGTATCCCTCTCAAGCGTCGCTCCGCAGACCAAGACTATCCGGCAGGGGCTTCTGGTCAACGAAACCAAACAACGCCAGCGGGAAAAAGGCAGAGATAGGCATATAATCAAGTAAAGAAAAAAGGAAAAGAGGACAAAACAAAAGAAACAAGTGAAATTGACGAAAGTAATGGCCTCGGAACAAACTACTCAAAGTGTCATATATGAGATAAAGTGCTAGTAGTGTGAACTGGCACAATCGAAGTGCGCCAGCATACCTGGGCTGGCATATGAAGTATGCTGCCGCATGTAGGCTGACACGAAGAGCGTATTAGAGGAGACGCGCCAGCACACTCAGTGTGCTATCATATATGGGCTGGCATATAGGGGATGCCAGCTCATGTAGGCTAGCTCAGACAGTGTGCTAGTGTATATATGTCAGCATGCGTGGCATACTGGCATATCTGAGCTAGGACGTGAAGTATGCTAATTTACGTGGGCTGGCATACGTGGTGTGCAGGCATATCTGGGCTAGCACAGACAGTGTGCTACTACACGTGAGCTACCATAGCGTGTATGCTAGAGCAGGGACGCTAGCACACTATGCATGCTGGCGCACTTCTACTGGTATCCCTTATGTGCCAGCCGATTTCTACCAGTACGCTTAGTTGTGCTAGCGTCCCTGCTCTAGCATACACGCTATGGTAGCTCACGTGTAGTAGCACACTGTCTGTGCTAGCCCAGATATGCCTGCACACCACGTATGCCAGCCCACGTAAATTAGCATACTTCACGTCCTAGCTCAGATATGCCAGTATGCCACGCATGCTGACATATATACACTAGCACACTGTCTGAGCTAGCCTACATGAGCTGGCATCCCCTATATGCCAGCCCATATATGATAGCACACTGAGTGTGCTGGCGCGTCTCCTCTAATACGCTCTTCGTGTCAGCCTACATGCGGCAGCATACCTCATATGCCAGCCCAGGTATGCTGCCACTTTTTATGTTCTAGCTCAAATATGCTGGCGTGCTTCTTGTTCTGGTAGCTATGTGGGCGCTCATTCACAGATTAGGTTCCGCTTTACCTTAGTACAAAGCAGAGGGTTTCTGATGCACCAATATTTCACGAACATTCACGCTGTAGCTGAGTTTTGATCGGAGCTTGCGAACATCATTTGGCATTATAACCGGCGACTCTAAGGAACCCTAGGCGAAATAGACACGAATAATTCATAATTGTGCACCAACTTCACAACTGAACTATTGCTATTGCAAGAACCCAGGAACTAAAAGGCCCTACCAAGAAAAGCTGTACTTCCTGGAGAGAGCTGGCTTTGGGGTCGTATGATAGGCCCGATATGAGTGCTTGCCGCACATTCAGGAGGGTCAAAATGCAAAAATTTAACGATTCAAATCTAGAGAAATAATCCTTCAACCAAGAAATTTCATCGCTTAACCTACGTTCGGGTTGGCTTGCGATCCAAACGGCGCACAACCGCTCCAAGAACTACTTTGAGAATCCCATCGGCCGTCAACGTCTTATTGTTGTCCGAGCTGGTGGAGCTCCCCGCCGTATCGACCATATCACGAATGCTCAGATCCGCAAGACTATCGTCGAGCTCCCGCAGAGCCTTTGCCGCGCCATACTCCTTGCCAACCTGGAAGAACTGAATGCCAACCTGGTAAGGGGGTGCCTCGAACTGGTCGAGCTTCTTGGCGTGGTGGATGATGATGCTCTCAGGGTCGTCGGTTGGGCAGCCGTCTGTGATGATAATTACGTTGACGGGTTTAGTAGAGTCCAAATTCTCAGGTTTGCGTGACAAGTTGGCGCAGTAAGGCTGGAGAATGCTGTGCAGGCGAGCTCCCGTGGGAGTAGCATCACCAGGCCGGATAGACTCGAATAGACGCTGCACCTGCGTGGCGTCTTTGATTTGATAGTATCCGCCGGGGGCCTGGGTACCGGAGCCGGAGTTTCGAGACTTGTGGTTGAAGAAGTAGACGTCGATACCGTCAGGGTCATGTGAGGTGCAGATAGGAGCGATGGCGCCAACGGCCTCGCGAACCTCGCGCCAAGTCCGGCCAGCCATAGACCCAGAGTCGTCGATCACGAAGATGGTATCGAATGTGGAGAGGAAAGCGTACTTGTCTTCGGCGCTGGTGATGTTGGAGAGACTGGGTACAAGTGATGCGCAGCCAACGCTGGGGGGACTGGGCTGTGAGTAAGCGGGAGGAGCATCGTCGGCTAGGAAGCTCCGCGTTAGATCGATATACGCGAGCCATGGCGGTTACACCAGAGTATGGGAATTTAGGGATTTACATACGGCTATCTTCGTGCGGATCGATAGTCGATGAATGAACGTCTAGCTTCTTGCCGCTGTCATCCGACGCCGATGTCCTCTGTGCGGCCTTAGAAGGCTCACGTTATCAAGAGAACTTGTTCAGGAGGCTGTTGAATAGCCTAGACCGAGGCATGTTGTGCTTTTTGTGGCGTTTACTTCTTGTTCTGTAAAAAGAATGGGGAGTTGGACTTCTGGGAGAGACAGTCGTAGCTGGGTTTAGCCTTTTCCGGGGAGGTTACAATGATGGCTCTTTGAAAAGCTAGGACTTTGGGGGTTAAAGGAGTCTGAAGGTTCTTATTTATCGTTGTAGAAGAGTGCCTTAACTGACCAGGATTGATCTGACGTTAGCCTAACCGCAAGGCGGTTTTTGCTCCATCATTCAACGTCGCGGTGCCCATGGCGAAGAGAGCAAGACTATGATGTTGACGAGGCCCTAGTGGTCCACTTCGGCGTAGCCTCCCTCGCCACAATACTCTTTGGTTAGGCGGACGGGTACATGGAAGGCACTTTCCTTGACTCACACAGCCATCACGACTCCACCATGGTGTTGCTAGCCTCTATTCCCACGCTTAGTCTGGCGAATCTCTGGAGCATGAGGTATCAGCTTGCTTACTTTTATTTACTTTGAAACACTTGTCGATGCAAGATCAGCCCAACTGGGGCCGACCCTCAAGCTGGAATATGAGCGAAAGTAAGATGCAAATGCGCTAACATTTGCGGTACGATGTCTACTTTGCAAGACCCGAAACTGTTGCTTACATCAAAGTATCCATCATGGCATCCTGGCAGTAGTGTTCATACGGTGTCGGTACCCGACTAGACCCGCATCTGTTCAAGCCGGCCACGGGCACTCGTGAGCAGCACAGGTGCCAGTCACGGCTAGATAGAACAAACTGTACCACATCCACGCCCCGTCGGATTTTGGCCGTTGAAGCTTAGCCTGCCAAGGCCAAGAATCCTGGATGACGCGCGTCAAGGACCGGCACAGTCAGAGAGTCCCCAGGACGTTACCTCGGACATCCGGTAGAGCGATAAATTGGGGTCGGGGGAAGTCTAATCTGCTACAGCGAAGGGCACCAGTTAATTATTGATTTCCGGTAGCACAACAAAAGTCAGTTTCGGCGTCGTCTGGTAAACGCCTCTAGAGCAATCGAATTCGAATGACCAAAACGTCCAGTTTTGCTACGATGGTAACTGCCCTAGCAGCAACGAAGTGTCTGCTTATAGAGGAGACAAGTCCCGGCACCCGTCAATTTCAGCCTTGAGCTGCCCTTTTCAGCGAGGGCGTTGAAGGAGGGGTGGCTTCACGTGTGGTTGACAAGTTATCCCTACGTAACTTGATAACAGCATTTTAAGGCTGCCTTTACTGCCAGAACGTTTCGGCTCGGTCACGGATGAAAACGAGACGTCTGTTCAGTCCTAAAATATGAGAATTCTTTTTGAAGTCAGAAGGCACAATTTTGGGCTGCTTATGTGCTGTTTTAGCCTGCGGTCAGTATTAAAGTGTTGTAGTCATGGTACGAGACGTTGCCTAGAATGGACTACCTGTAAGCCGCCATCGAACTGGCACATTTCTCAAAGAGATATTCTCGACGTTAGGCATAGAATACCATGTAAATAGTCGAATCAAGAGAGGCCTTTTTCCCCGTCTCTCTCTTTCTCTTTTTTTTTTTTTTTTTTTTTTTCCCCGGCCCAATGACCATGCCTTAACGCAAGCTCTTGATTTCCAGGAATACTGGACTTGTATTGGTCAAACCGACCACAAGCACACGTGAAAGCTCGGTAATGACAATGTAGGCTACAAGCCAGTTCTAGACTCGACCGCGCTAACTAACACGTCATCAAATTTGGTCGGTTAAGGCCATCGATGGGTAGTGCATCATGTAGGGCGTTCAAGAAAATGGTAGGTTATGGACGGGAAACTCAAGTAGAACACGTGGGGATATTCACGGATTCTCGTTTTCCGACGGCCAACCTTCCAATTTTAGTGAGGTCATGACTACGTGAACGGCGACGAAATGCCTCACTAGTGGTAATTGGTTTTGTGTTGCTGCTAAGGGCCGTTGTATCTCAACCTCTTTTTAATCATACAGTATAAGGTACAGGATTGGTTGATTGCCTTCTAAGTTGGCGTCCATTAGGTGCCTTCCGGTAGGAGATGAATATCCGGCCAAAAAAGATACCTTCTTGGATATATAGATCACTTCGCCCCCCCTCATCTTTACAATGACTACACAGCCATTCGCAGTGGCTAATCCGTGTTGTTCCGAACCAAGTACCTCCTATCTGTAGGCTGAGTCGCCACTGTCAAGGTGTAAGGTCCCAAAAGCTCCTTATATCAACAAAATGAAGTTAGTCTAAGCTTGGTGTTCCAGGCTCCCGTTTATACCACCGTCACACATACCCCTCCTCGTCACCCGATCTCGCGGTATTATCCGCTAGCACGGGTCCAGATTTGCTCGCTTCTGTCTCTCATCCTCCCAGAGCTCTTCGCACCTACTCGTTGTTAATTGTACTTAGTCAACAGAATGCCTGACTATACCTCATCAGAGGGGTCGGAGGACTCCCACCGACCTCCCAAGCAACCCCCCCCCCCCCCAAAAGATCAGCGAGAGGAATCAGAAGCATAAAAGAACAAAGAAGATGCTACCCCAAGAGTCAATCAACCGTATATGGAGAAGATTCTCCAGACATCAATTCAATAAAGCTCTCGCCATCATTCCGTTCGACCCTGTTCCGCCCCCAGTCAACACTGGTCGTTCCAATAGATTGCTCTCAGAGGATTATGGCCGTGCCGCGGCAGAGTGTCGACTGAAAGTCGAGAAGATTGACAGGGAGTGCAAACGAGTGAACATGCGGTATCGCGATCCCTACTGGGACTTGGTCAGCCCTCGCTGTCCTCCAGCTCACAAGAACCCCCTCGCTGACTGTTCAGTTAGGATTGGGATTTTAAACACGAGAAAGGTCACTGCCTGAATACTCTGGGCCAGCAAAAGTTCGAATTGAGTGACACGTCTCTCTTGAGTTCAGAGGACAGGGTGCCCAAAGCCGTTAAGCGAGTGCATGGAATCTTCGAAAACCCTACCTTTATGAAGAACATTAACGGTGGCGACGTCAAGCAAGGGAATCTAAGTGATTGCTGGCTGATGGCTGGCTTGATTGCTCTAGCTAATATTCCAACCAGTCTTAAGCGAATCTGCGTTGCCTACAACCTCGAGGTCGGCATCTATGGCTTCGTCTTCTACCGAGATGGAGAATGGATCTACTCCATCATTGACGACAAGCTCTACCTGAAGTCACCCTGTTGGGACTCTCCTAGCCGCAGCGAGATCTTCTGCAACAAGTTGGTCCAGAAAATGCCGAAAAGGTCTACCGAGAAACATATCAGACTGGATCCAAGGCCCTCTTCTTTGCCCAGTGCAAGGATCAGAACGAGACTTGGATCCCTCTCATCGAGAAAGCATACGCAAAAGCACACGGTGACTACGCGTCTCTCGCAGGTGGCTGGGTCGGCGAGGGCTTGGAGGACCTGTCCGGCGGTGTCACGACTGCGCTGTTTACCTCCGATATCCTTGATAGAGACGAGCTTTGGAATAAGGAGATGTCAAAAGTGAACAAAGATTTTCTCTTTGGCACCTCGACCGGCTACTTGGAAAATGGGTATGGCGAGCGTGATGGTATTGCAGAGGGTCACGCCTACATCGTTCCGGAGGCGCGGACGCTCAAGAGTGGCCAACGTTTGGTGAAGCTACGAAACCCTTGGGCTGATATTCGTAAGGGTATCTGGGAAGGTCCTTGGAGCGACGGCTCTAAAGAATGGACGAAAGAAATTCAAGAAGAACTCGGCCACAAGTTCGGTAGCGACTCTGTCTTTTGGATCTCGTACCAAGACCTCATGCGCAAGTATTCCCACCTTGATCGAACCCGGCTATTTCGAGACAATGACTGGCGATGCTGTCAGCGTTGGATCGGGGAGGATGTCCCGTGGAAGGCAAAATACCATGAAAAGTTTCACATTAGGGTAGCCAAAAGCTCACCTCTCGTGCTCGTAGTTTCGCAACTGGACGGACGCTATTTCAACGGTCTCCACGGTCAGTATTCGTTCCGACTACACTTCCGGCTTCACCATCGAGATAGCCCTGTCGCCGGCGATTACATTGCTCGGTCCCACGGTAACTACCTGATGAATCGATCAGTGTCTGTAGAGATCCCAGACATCTCGCCGGGAACCTACGTCGTGTATCTGAAGGTGACAGGCGAGAGAGACCTTTCTAAGCAGCCGGTCGAGGAGGTGGCCAGGCATGAATGTATGGAGAGGTTCGAGAATGACAAACTTGCTCAGGTTGCCTACGCTTATGACCTAGCTCACAGCAAGGCCTTGGTTCAAATGAGTAAGGTTGCCCAGCTGCGCCAAGAGGAGTCCCTGAGAAACGCTTCCAAAAGTCGACGAGAAGAGCGTCGTCGGCTGTGGGTGAAGCGCCACGCAAAGCGCCACGCCATCAAAATGCAGAAAAAGAAGGATGCTGAGAAAAAGCAACGTCGGCGTGAGACTTCAAAGGCTGAACCGTCTCTACTTGATAAGGAATGTCGTGGGGAGGGTGTGTCCGAGGTGGGGGAGAAGAAGGGGGCGCTCACCCAAGCGAGGGTTGAAAAGAAAGAGAGAGGTAACGACGATCAGAAGTCGGTGAGCAGTATGCCCAGCTCCAAGCTCGAAGAACAGAATAATACCAGCGGAGCCGTATTAAAAGAGATTATGCAATCCCAGCACAAGGCGGTCAAGCTCTCTGGGGAGCCCTTTCAGGAACGTACCAGCGACGATGGTACACCCAGCGGAACCGGCACCTCTACAACGAACTCTACCGACCAAAACTTGGGCCAAACAAGAAAAGGATCGTTTCGGTCTAAACAAGATGATCGACTGTCTGCATCGACTGGTTCGCCTCAGTTGATCGATGAAGGCGATAATTCCTCGGCAACGGCCAGAGTCACTGACCGGGAGATAATGTCAAAAGAGGATGAACGTGAAAGAGATCGATCCTTATACGACCCGGTGGACGACTCTTCAGACTCTCCAGTCGACGACTGGGAGATGCTCAATTGGCGACGTGGTGTTTGTCGCGACGAACAACGAGCTCTTCCCGCGTTCATCACATTTCGAGCAAACCCAGTAGGTCTGCAACGTCCGCAAATCAGGGCTGACTTCAGTGAGCAAGAATCCATGGGCTTGAATCCAGCTCGGCCGGCCTTTGCGATTCTTGTTGGCAATATACTCCTCTGGTATATACCTCTTGCAGCCGATCTGGACCGTTGGGAGGTCAGCAAGAGTCGTTCTCCCAGATTCAGCCTTGATGGACGCAGCGTCAAGCTGCTGTTTCAGCGATTTGCGCTGGCTCTTAATCCCCAGGAGCGTTTCTAGCGACTGCTGTTGTGCTGCCATAGCGGATCATTGGCGGATCGCGGATCGTGGATGCTACTCACAGAGGGACTACTTTGGTTCTGAGTCAGGTGCGACGCGTCTCGACCACGCGGGCGAACAAACATTAAATCCGCGCCTCCCCTGCCGCGTCCCTGTATTATCATTGGTGCAATCAGCTGGAGAAGGCGACACTAATTCATTACCCTACACCTTGGGCCGACAAGGTCTGAATGGCCTCGGCACTCCTAGGGCCGTCGTACAGGAAAACCCATAAAATATAGTATTTCAAGTAAATCAAGTTTGGGGCATAATAGACTTACTTACTTGAAATACGTTGGGCGGTCAACTTACTTGACTTACTTGATATACTTGACTTGATACTTGAATTGAGCTTAGCGCTGTTGGCTGCATCAAGTCCGTATAACTAGAACGGTCGTGAGTAATGTGATTGGCGTTCCTGCTGAGTTCCCTAGTAGCTTTCGCTTTCCGCCATACGCGTTCAATCGTTTCTCGGTAAACATACATATTGTGAACGGCCTCTAGTAACTGTATTCCAGCTATCTAGTCCAGGATGCTATTTACATCAAAGATGAAGAAGAAAGAAAGAAGTTCCCAAGTGCCCCTGAGCTGTGGAACGATTTCTCATCCCTGGCGCGCACGAGCCGTCTTGCGGCACAGCCGCAAGGATATGGGCCCTGGCCCGTGACACATATAAATAACCCGTCAAGTTCTACTAATGTATTCTTTCTCTCGTTTCTGATATATCTTGTCTCTCTTGACTACCCATAATGACAATTGAGCAACCTTTCTCCCTCTTACAAGCTGGAAGAAAGTATATTACGTTGCCAATGCACAGCTGGAGCGACGAAAAACATTCCACGTGTGACGGGACAAGAGCACGAACGAGGTCGGGTGCGACTTGGGTAAAGTGATTGTTTACAAGGAGAGAAAGAGATTCCTAAGGAAAGCTCTGACTTAAGCTATTTACACAATATTCATAAAGTGAAACTATTCATAAAGTATGAAAGTCACATGATCGTTCCCTCACACCACGTTTGTGTACACAATGCCCAATGACTTCGTAAATCCAGTTTCATATCTTTCCATCTCTTTAAATCCTATTTGCAGCTTTCGAAGGGATAGAGCAGCCGGCATATGGGCCTATACAACAAAAGGAGTTGTACTGGGCGACCAGTACTTCGTGGGGACCCTGGGACCTAATAAATTGAGTTGCTTTATTCAAATACGCCCGGTAGCGCCAGATGTCGATGGCATAACAGTTTTCATTATTGTTATGCCTGAATCTGAAGTGGCTGGTCGCATCGAAGACCAAAAGTTTGAGTGGAAGAGAACAGGTCCATTTATCGAGTTAAATTAAGTAGTTACTCGGGCGTTTCTGGCGTAGGGGGAGATGGCCTGAACGAGAGACCGGGCGTATCCTACAAGTACCTTGAGCGACAGGCGGTATAGTCGCTGTGGATGCTACATGCACAAGGGGCGTCGCATATGGACGTGCGGATCCCGAACATGTTGTTCAATCAAGAGACTGGCCGGGTGATGATCGAAGACTTCGAAAGAGCACGCATTTTCCGTCAGCCTCGACCGCCGCTGGCGTCGCTGGCGCCTAATTAATAAGCAAATGAGGGGGCATGACAGGGCTATGGTACCAGACGGATTGTCTATTTCACATATCGTTTTGCGAGGATGTAAAGAGGGGCTGAAAATAATGCTTGGTAGGAACGGGCTGAAAATGCGATACACGAGTAATGAAAGAAATTAGCAGGCTAGGAAATGATTGTCAGTGGCTGGCTATGTAGAATGCATAGTTCCATGAAAGGTAAAAGTTAATAAATGACGTGGATATTTTGTTTTCTCATAAGTTAAAGCAGATTCAATGAGATTAGTCATGGAGACATGGGCAAATTAAAATTGAGGAAAGAAAATATATTCGCAACCTCGAATCCACACTCGATGATCTTAATATACTAAAACAGAATGCTCCATTAAGAAGGTGGAGCGCCAACGAAAATGGTCAAGTTGTCAACGTTTCCAGACGAAACAATGCCTGAGGCATTTTCATTGCCGTCCGGGTTGACATCGTCGTAGGAGAATGCATATCCCTTGCCGTCCACCTCATACTTATGAATGACGCGGCTGTAGTGGTTGGTAGGATCGACCATGTAGTACGAATCGCTGCCAAGGCTCGGCTGCACATTGCCTCCATCGAGAAGAAGAGTGGAGCGGACAAATGCAGCGCAGAGACGCGGCACTACTGCCTTGTGAATGGCATTGTCGTCATCTATAATAGCAAACGGCCCGGTGTTGCAGCCCCAGATGTCGTTGGCGCTGGGCTTTGTGTAGCCTCGATTGTCGCCATTGCAGATCAATTCATCTCCCGAAACCTGGCAGCTAACGTCTCCGAAATCTGTCTGCGTGTTGATCATCAAGGTCGAGATGGTATATTGGCTCCAGACTTGGTCAACATAACTGGACCAGTATTTGACAAAGGCATGGGCGTTGAGATCGTGGAAGTTGCCAGGTGACAATACTCGGATAGGAGTTCCTGCAGCATTGGCAATGCACATGGAACTCCACGGGTATCCATCAGCATCCATCTGTGTCACTAAGTCATTGCAGATGTTGGTGACACTGTCAGCCTGGAGTCCCGCTGCACTTTGCACGGTGCCGTCGGCGACCGTTAGCAACATGCCCAGAACCATGCCAACAAAGTCAACGTAGCTAATATTTGCATATATGACCCCGCCAGTGTAAGTAAACTCAGCGAAGCCCCATTTGAGGCCAGCGTTTGCATCCTGAAGGTTGGTAATGGACGGCTGAACCAAGCCATCCCCTGTGTCAGTGTTCACCATGTAAAACGACAAGCCACCATCGGAAAAATAGATGCGTCCAGAGCTCATATAAATTGGCAGAGTGAGTTCAAACATGTCTCCAGACGAAGTTATGGGAATGGCAATGTTCTTGGTGATTTTAACAGGGACCTTGGAGCCACCTGAGGAAGGATAAATCAAGGATCCATTGCTAGCAACGAAGACGACCGCACCATTGGAGTCCAGCCCAGATATATAGACGTTGACTGCACCGCCACTGTAGTTGTTGACGAACTTCAGAGGCAGAGTGGCGACAACTGGGTCTCGCTGGGCAATAGTGCTGGTGCTGTTGAGGGTATTTTCTTCCGTGACTTTAACATCATCGATCCCCCCTGGTTGGATTTTGGTAAATCCTTCTGGGGTTAGAATGTCTCTAACAAACTTCAAGGTGGGATGGCAAGTAGTTAAGCCGAGAAAAATGGCAATGAGAAAGAATGGACGCATTTGAGCGAAATGAACGGGTGGACTGGATAAATAGAGAGTGACCGAATAAGCAAGAAATACGTTCCGTGAAGTAATGTTTGCGCACCCGTTATCAGCCGTTCAGTCTCGCTTGGTACGATGCAACCATTCATCAACAGCCATCTGATCGTCCTACGGCTTGCAATGTGCCTCTTTCATCAAGGATACAGCTCCAATAAAATAATAGTCGAATCATTTCATGTCAACAGGAATTTTGCGAGCCTGACAGTCGCGAACAATCTTGTCACGTATGCATTTTGCATTCCTGACGTAATACGCGTCGTGTCCTGAAGTTTACCGTTTCAATGGAATCTCTCTCTTACTCTGTGGGGCACAGAAATGAAATGCTCTGTCATTAATAAGGGCATGGATGATTGGAAGAGACGCCAATAATTTTATGATTCCCACGACTAAAACACTTTCCTACTACGCTCTCCCGTCCGATTTGTCCTGGCCCTAACACTACATACCATAGTACAGTGGTCTAAGGCAAAGCTGTTATCCAGCTAGTACGAATTGGATGTTGGGTTGGGATTGGGATCCGATAATGAATGAACCATTGTCCCAGAGGGTCATACATATTAATAAATGCCACTGTGTATGTACAGTACATACCATCGATTATCAGTCTTGGAGGAATTGCGGAGCATGGTTGAATATGCTAAAGCGAATATCCGAGCGAGGTGAGAATCAGAAGCGTCAAGCCGATTGCCCGCTGGGATCTCGAACAAGAAAGTCTAGAAGGTGCTCAATTCCAGTACAATAACCGTATTCGTTTTGGAACTTTCCAGTACACTATGTATCACGGACGCTAAGCGCGGTTCTTTCGACTGTATAGATATTTCCTTTTGGTGCGACGGTAGTAGGTTTATTGCGGCAGGATAGGAATGAAGACACTTCCCTTTCTAATATTTACTGTAGAGCTTTACCGCCTAATTACAAATTTACATCCTCGATTTGGACTGTGAACTCATCCTTGCGCGCTCCGTCCTTTTTCGGGCTGTAGGGTAGGCTCGGCACATCACCGGAGCTCCCAAGGTTATGCCCCGTCTCGGCCTTAATACCATCCCTCTCCTCCACGTTGTTCCATTTTTTTATCTCCTACTTTATTTGAAAACAAATACAGCCTTTTGCCTTCAAATCCTCCCCTGTCCGCCGTGTTCACACTACTCTCTACTGCTTTAAATCTAAAAAACCAAGTTAGAGCATCCCCCTCAAGTCACATCCAAATATCACAAAGCTACCGCCTCCTGCTTTTCACTAGGAGCATAAACCAATCTCGTATTCCAAGCATGATAACTTCTATTCCTATCCTCTTCAGCGCCGCCTTGGGTGTCTCTGCTCATCTCGGTGGCTATGCTCACTGGGCTGCCCACCACCCGCGACTGTTTGCCAGGGCCAACGACCCTACCATTACCACTGCCACCACTACTATCACTCAGTACGTGACTCAGGTTGCCATTCCAGCCACTAGCTCTTCCAACGTCGCTACCTCTACAGATGATTCTTCTGGAGACTCCTCCACCGCCACGTACCGCGACTTCTGCGCCAATAGTAAGTCGAGGCGTGCCACCGTGGAGCAGATTGCTTACGAGGGCAATACTGGAACCGATAACGACTACGGCTGCAACATTATGGAGATTAACCAAAGTATCGCCTCCAAGTACAAGTACACGGCCACCTTCAACAACGCCGTCAACCAGGACCAGGCCTGTGTCTGCTTCAACAAGATTGGTCCTAACAAGACCGACACCGATGGTGGCATCAACGGCTCGTGGGAGGGTAACGAAGCCATCTCTTTCACCCTTCCCGCCAGCGGCACCAAGGTTGCTGCCTTTGAGGGCAACTCTCAGGGTGGCTGCGTCTGTGGCGTGGGTTCTGAGGTTCCCACCACCTCTCTCGGCCAGTTTGCCGGCACCTGGTTCGAGTTCGACTTTGGCAACGAGTCTAACGACAACTGGTCTGGTGCTGATGCCTCTTGCCTGGTGGCTTCCGCCAACGGCCTTGAAACTCCGGCCCTTAAGGTCTGTGGGTCCGGTATTTGCTCTATTATCAACACCGATGGCACTGGTGAGAACGCCTATGTCAAGGGAATAGAGGCTGAGGATGGTGTGGGCCTGAACCTTCCTCCGGGCAACGTCCACCTTACTCTCACAGTTGGCGAGTGAGCTTGTTTACACTCTGAGTTTATATCTGGTATTCTCGGTGCTTGTAGTGGTGGCTTCCTCCTAGTTACAAGGTTGGCATAGCATAAGGTCTATCTAGTAAAAATATAGTCTATGAATAGAGTAGTATCGACTTTCGGCTTGTAATTGAATATACTGACATCGACACAGCGGCTGAGAAGGATGTGATCAAGGGAACGCACGCGCACACTGAGTGCATCGCGAGCCAACTCACAACTGACCTTGACCATCGCCCAATCAATCCCAAAAGAGCCGGTCGGGGTCGTACCCACCCGCTCTTTATCTGAGTAAGTGAATGAAGGTGCCCTATTGGTTTATCAATGCTTCGGCTGCGATGTGATAAGCCAATAGGACGGCTTCATTCTCAATTGTGCAGATGTCAAGGAATAACAGGAGAGGCAAGCCGGTCGCGGCTTGCGCATAAAGCCTTGAGGAACGAACGAGGTTGGCTATGGGTGTGGTTATTTGAAGTTTGCCATATTTGCAGTTTGCCATTTGCCGGGCAGTGTTGGAAACGGAGACGCAAAGGCCAAGTGCAAAAATGTTGGTTTTGGATTGATGGATTGATTCATTTCCGTCCTGAAGGCAAGGTACATAAGCCCACTAGACCTCACCATGGAGTAAAAGGACGTGCTAGGCTAGCTCAACATGATTTCCACCCACAGCTTCCATCATCCTTAGCTATCTAGCAATTCAGCGGCTCAAGGCCCGTGATAGTTCGAGCCCGGCCCCCGTCAGCGGGGGCTAGGGGCGGCGGTATCCCTCTGTACTGGCTATACCACATGCCCGCAACAGTACCGCAATTCAGATAAAACCAGCCGGAATTCTCCTGCATCCGCATACCAGCCAGGGACCCAGAAGAACCTTCTTCTTATTTGCCGAAGGGTTGGTCGTCTAGCCTTCCGATCCCCCAGTAACCGAGGAGTCATACATGTAGATCGCAACAGCGGGAAAAACCACGAGGGGAGAAAAACCGCTATAGCTGGCTGCCATTGATCAGGTTACATCTCGCGAGTCCTGATGCCCTTAATAGCTTGGTTCTGAAGCCATCTTGGGCCTGGCACGAGCAACACAAGGTGAGGCCAACTCTCTTAATTCCTCAGATTGTGTGCCTGTTAGTGCCCAGATGGGCGCTAAAGGCTGTTGCAAGTAAAAGTGGCCTGTGCAAACCCCGCACCTTAGCAACGCACTAACAGTGGCTGCCAAGAAAAGATTTTTACAGGAGAGAGTTGTGATGTCGCTGAATAATGCCAACACGTCGGTGTATATAGGGTAGGCAATCTTGGCCACTCGAGCGGCGGTGGAATTGAGAAAATGGAGACGAGAATATCCTGCAATGGAAGATTTGGCTTTAATTCGGGGCATCTGATGAGAATGAAGCTCGCAATCTAGCCATATCGTCTTGTGATCGAGGGAGGTAAGAGCTACCGACGGTGTTTCGTGATGGTCGAGTGTGGTAGAAAATTCCCGGGCTAGGTATTGACTCTTTACCCGACCACCGATCGCGAGAATGGACCGAGGCCTCGCTTTCCCCATTGCGTCGAGCAGTTCGTACGGGGCCAAGTTTTCTTGGAGATATGGCCCAGGTAAGCCGGGTGCATTTGACCGGAGCTGCAGCAGGCTGTCTGTTGAAGGCATGACTACGTGTGAGTGGTACCTGGTGGGGCGCGCGAGGACCTGTGTGCTTACTTATGAATTTTTGGTTCAGTGCATGCATTGCCAGCGCTTACATTAAATCGCGCCCGATCGTGTATTTAAGCCCGTTTATTTTAGGACTTAAATTAAGCCGCGTCGCGCCCTGTAGGCCCCAGTGGAGCCCTCAGTGGAGCAAGCCTGCCTGTGCTATATGAATGATGTTCTCGCTGAAGGTATTTGCCAATGCAAATACGAGATTGATAGTAAGATGGCTTCGTTGACTGAATACCTCGAGGGAACCGTCAAGGTTCCCTTGTCACTCCTCACTTCAGACGGTTTTGCCGAGTGTCCGACAGGGTTTTCGGACCGCGCCACTGTCTCCGATTTCAAGCAGTTCCTTCATAACCCTGACCAGCCAATTACCGGGATTGTCACGCCGAAAACCTTGAAAGATATGCTACAAGCTCTACGTAAAACCTACGCTCAATTCCGACAGACGCTTGGCCAAGATGCCGAATCTCTCCCTAATAATATTTACAAGATTGATTGCCTCCTCGGGCAACAGTGTTTGGATAAAGCAAAGGCCGCATTAGGCGCCGATTTCAAGTGCACCGTACGAATATACAGTATTCCTCCAGGTATGTGGCTCACCACTGATTACCACGGGCTACAGCAGCTAACTGCACAGACGTACCGGGCAAATATAGCGAAGGAGAGATATGCCGAAATCTACTGCGCTGCTCAGAATCAACAGACTCAAATGCCTTCAACGTCTGGCTCGCGAGACTGCCTCCTGGAAAACAACGCCATATCGTTATGCTAATGCATCGACACGAAATATGGGCAGCAATGCAAGCGGTTGTTCCATTCTCCGGTCATTGGGGAGAATCTATACAGATTGGAAATATAGCCAAACACCTAGCGGCTCATTGCGATGATATAATCGTGCGATACTGGCGTCATATTTATACAGTATGGTCTAAAATATTCTTTGGTCTAGAGAACAAGACGCATCTCCTTGACCCAGAAAGTGTTCGCTTCCTTCAATATAAGGCTCCTGGTTGGAGTAAGACAGACCGAGATGATATCAGTTTAGGACTGGAAGCCGGCACACTACCTCGGGATATCCCTAAGGATTTAAGAGGAACCCTCTATACGAATATTTATTCGCTTGAGGTGGTGATACCAACCATCTTGACCTTCAACGAGAACCTACGATATCTTACAATAGGCCTTAAGATTCTGGAAAGACATATTGAGGTGAAACCACCAAAAGAACATCAAAAGGCCAGGTCCAAGGCATATATACTCCAGCCACCTGACAGTATATACGATAATCTAGAAGCGGACTGGAATCGCAACCAGGCTTATTCCGGGTTTGAAGTCTCGAATGTCGAGGCCAGAGAAGGGAAAGTTCTGGACTGCGTCACAACCACCCTCAGCACCTCATGCATTCGTAGGGCTCCTACTTTCGGCCCTGAGGAACTTTCCTTGTCTAGGCTCAGAACCTCCACGTATCCTCATAGGGGGATTTGAAACAGTGCCGAAAATTGCCCTCAACCTCTTATTTAAAGCCATTTCGCCAAGGCTTATTTGATATCCTTCTTTTTTATGTCGATGAAAGCTAGTGACAACCTTCAGAGCGAGCCTGGGGTATGGGAGGCGCAGCCGCCTCCCCCCCAAAAGATAGATCACGATATACGTGACTACGGCGGTACTACAACTGCTTTCGATTCTATGTCTCTTCATATACAACCCAAAAAAATACGGGATTGAGTCCAGGAACGAGTGATTGAGTTGAATCAAGAGAATGGAAGGTTACAACACGAGGCCACCTACTATGCAAATCTAGCCAACGGCGTGTTGAGGAATCTCTTGAGTTCACTTCAATACCGCATCAGCCGGCTGCGTTCTTCGATTGGTGACTGCAAAATGACAATCGAAGGACATCAGCCAGCCGTCGAAGCGAACCAACAGGCCGAAGATAGTCATCACAAAAAGGAGGGGTGGTTCAGTAGGAAAACAACTCAGTCATGTGAAAGTAGTGGTTCTGCACAGGGAAGGACTAAGAATGAGGCCAACCCCTTTCCTATTCTGGGCCCAGGCCACCGCACTCTGCCGCAACCCCCTGGGACTCATGACAGTTCTGTACTTGGAGCTCTTGTGGTGAGGCTGACTCAAGAAAACGGGAAGTTGAGGCAGTCAATTTCGTTAAATAGAACGCTGGTTTTTCAGGTGCTGGCACTCCTGATACCTTAAATACAGCATCTTATTCTTGGTCTCCGCTCAGCAATCGACGAGGGAGACGTTATACTCAGACAAGCGAACGATGCATGGGGGCGAGAAATCAGTTTCGTTGCACAAACCTGCACTGGCACAGAACGTGGACATTCATCCACGAACAAAGCCTCTTGTCCATATGTAGCGAAGCAGGGACAAGGTTCTGCTTCATTACGACCTTGGATACCACAATGGTCAAAGTACCAAGACAGTACAGAGAACCAAAATGCCATATCCTCCACCGAACTCAGGCGCCATCGCAGAATCCTTCAAATTGAGTGTTCTTCCTACAGAAAGTTAATTGAAGAGGTGCTGGTACAAGTAGTACCAGCGATAGAGTCTCACTCAAACGAACTCCAATTCATCATGGAAAAATATATTGCACGGGACCGCAAGACCAGGTGCCCATTTCAGGAGAGGCACAGGTCTTGAACGCGGAAACATGTTGAGTAGCCCTATTCAGTCCCTCGGGTTAGTTCTTGGGCTGTTACTAGCGGTAATTGTTCGCATGAATGCTTCGTATGGTTATTTAAAAGATGGTCTTTTAGAAAATGGCCGTATCATAGCACCGCCACTGCATCTGTGAAACCGAGTGTTGCGACTTCTCCCCTACTCTATTTAGTGTTCACAAGAACCACGCAGAAGGAACGATACGGTGGGGACGAGAACCACGGCCAAACGGGCATGAGTCTCCGGAAGATGCGACATATTCTAATACCAACAAGCTCCTACATAGAATCTTTCACTTCTTGGCTTTAATTGCACAACTTGTTCTACGTCAATCGCTCATAGCGTCATTGTTAGACGCAGGCTTCGCTTCGATTTCCGCGCTGCATCCTTGAGTTTTGCCATCGATTATCTGTATTTTGCTTAATCATCGTTCTATTGTCACTTCCAAAGCTATTGCCCTACAATCGTTCATTTTACATCACTACAATCAGGTCCAATATCGTTGAGGATAGAACAAGTCAAGATTGGCGAGTCGACATCATCAGACACGGCAACACAAATGGCCGAATGTTGTATTGAGGAAGCGACAGTTCTGTATGAAATTATAGACAGGAGTTTTGGGCTAGAACGTCAAAGCGTTTCAAAATCTGAGGTGGAACGCAAAGGGAAGACATTTTCGGACCTTGAAACCTCCATCGTTGGTATGTGAACGGAGCCAGTGTATCATATGATGACCTATATATGTCCCGTCTCCTTATGAACATCTATTCGATCAGGAAAGTTTCGATGGAACCAACAGAAACTATTGATTCAAGTTTCACATCATCACTGCCCACGCCCTTGTCAGATGATGACAAACCCATCAGCCTTCGGTACACCGTCGCCTCCACATGTTATGGCCACTCCTTCGACGGAAGTCCATCAGTTGGTGCGATTTTTGCACGACCGGAACCGCTTTCTGACGGCGGAGAACGAGAAGCTCCTGGAAGAGTATGAAGCCTTGAAAAAAGACGTCATACACAACGAGGCCCTCGTCTCGTGGCAGCACAGATTAGTCAGCCTAGGAGAAGAGCACATCAAGCTACTAGAGACAATCATTCAAGTTCAGCGCGAAGGAGGGTCTCAGTCAACGCCTTTGCCGATTGATGAAAGGATCGAATTTCAACCTCAAACCTTTAGTTCTCCGTTGAACACCCGGCCAGAACTACTTCCACAATCACGTCAAATGCTGGTTGATCAAATGCTGGTTGCTGAGGCGCCGAAGGATGAACAGGGACGGCCAATCAATCAAGATGATCAGATAGTCTGGCCTGGACACGGCCAAGGGCATGGCTCGGAAGACGAGGGCCATCCTGCTTCATACTATTAAATATTCAAGAGTTTTCGCTGCTAAAATCCGTTCTGGCTAGTGAAGCAATGAATGTGCAATCACAACTAAGCCTATCTCTAGGTAAAATTTGATGGACCATAGATGGATGATCATAAAATGGAGGGAAAATAAGAAAAAGGCCATATATCAAAATATCACGAGCAAGACGCCTTTTTTTCATGTATCTATAGCTTAATACGAAATTGATTCTCATCTCATCCCCGGAAATTGGAAGATCTCTTTATGCAATCATAGGCACTTAGATAATTTTATCACGAATCTATCTAACGGATTGGATAGAGCCTTACGCTGTTCTATCCTGGATAGATCACGTCACTTGGAGCTTCTTGTCTTAGAATATGTCACCGACACGACACGAGATATTGATATCGACACCTCATCTACATATAAGAAAAACGCAAATAAGAAGCCACCCTCTGTTGACCACGCCATCACAATATCCGACTATCGCATTGTCCTCAGCCAAAAGGTTCGCTGCCTTTGCTGAACATCTCCATAGGGTCTATTGTTCCAAGTTCTCCCGTCGCTCCGTGATGCGCTTGGTCTTGTTTTCCTTGCATTATAGACCCGCCTCCTTGAAAATTGGCCGGCAAAATCTTCTCGACGAAACCTTTCGGCTGCTCTCGTATTCTACAACGTTCAGCGTCTCGATATATTTCCTTAAGATGCAAGAAATCACTCACTGCTTGCGCAATGCCGAAACCCTGCAACCAACCACGTTAGACAAAAGACAAAACAAAGGTTCAAGGTCGATACGTACTGCTGTACTACTTCCCTCATTCTATCCAATTCAATTGTTAACAGGAGCGGCAACAGGGGAGGGGAGGGGAGGAAGGAGCCGAAGATTGATACGTACTGCTGAGCCAATTCCCTCGTTCTGTTCCATATAACGGTTAGCATATAGTGGCAGGAAAAACGAGATCGCTCGCATTATTCAGTACTGACCTTTTGTCTATGCGATGAATTCTAAAGACATATAGTGTCAGCACACGATACTTTAATGTGGAATTAAGGGCAATCCAGAGGGGAGGGGTGTTTGGGGAGAATCACTGTTGGCTTTGTTCCCTCCTAAACTCGATGATCTGATCCTTGAGCTGCTCCAGCTCTGAATGACTTTGACTAGCATTCTCCTCGCCGGAATCGCTGGCAGAGTCGCCACCATAATCGCTTCTACTATCTGTTCAGCTTGTGCTTATCAGAGGGGCTCTCCATGCTGGTATAAAACGAACTTTTCAGATTCATAGTCGGGGCTTTCGTCTTCTACTGTCTGTTCAGCTGGAGACCGCGGCCCGTAGCCCCCTCTTCGATCATTGCTGGCGGTCTGCGGATCACGCCGGGCAACTTTCTTTGGTCTCGGATGAGTCGACCTAGGTGGGACCACATCCTCTGAGTGACGAGACCGATCCTTAGATGTACGTGACTTCCGGTCTGTCCGATGCTGGGCCGAGGGGTATGGTCGTGTACGAGAGTCATGAGTTCTAGAATGATGCTTTCGCGGAGGATACTTCATGACGGGATGCGCGGTCGAAATTGGGAGTGAAAACGATGTTTAGAGAAAATGGACATGTGAAGCTGAGCATGAAACTGCTCGATTATCGGGCGTGCTCGGCAGCATTCGAAATATATACTTGTCGACCGACTTCGGCTGTGCGGTACAGCCTGAACCGCTAATGATGACCGCCACCAACATGCATAGCAAGGGTCCCGGGTGCAGCCTGAAGGATGGCTCTTGGCGGGCTCGGGCAGCTGCTTGTCTTGTATTGTCCCCTCGCCCAAGAAGAGCAGAAACTGGCTGTTGTACCCGCGCGCCGGAGTTGCCATTTTTTGTAAAACGAGATGCGAACCTTTCGCCCATTAACTGCCCGATATTGTGCTATGCCTCACTCCGTTACTTGCTCTTCTATGTAGCTCTGATCCGAAGGGCAAGAAACTGCCACTATTGTCCACTGGACAACCGGGGCAGTGCCTCGCCGGGCGTGTCTGGTGGGTGCCAGACCAGCCGTTTCGCGCCGGTCTATCATTGCCACCTTGAAAGCTGAAAAGCGGCCAATTCACTATCCTACCGGGGAACTCATCCGGGGTGGAGAGGTGCTGAAATTAGAGTGGGTTCAATGGAAACGGCGTTTGCAACTAGGGCGACTTTACTTTGACAAGCGAACTGATCATCGCGTCGGGAATCAGCTGCAACGGTGATGATGTTAAATGTGGCTACGAAATGACAAATCGATGTAAATGGACCCATATCATGGAAGTTGACAGGTCACGTAGATTACGAGGGCAATCGGAGGCACCGAGTCAGAAGGAGGGCAAAGCGCAGGGAAACAATTTTGTTTTTCTCCACTGAATTAGTCTATCACTCTTCGTCAAATTCTGCAACGATCCACCGCGTGCTGCGGGAAAGAGCCGAAAAAGAAGGGTCCGGTACGTACGAATCGTGCGCAGGCAGGGATCCTGCGAAAGATTTTTCCGACCGTTGAGCGACATACCACCCCGCCGATCGTGCGTGCTGCACAAGGGTCCGATTCAGCTGCCATGCCTGCATGCAACACCTGCATATACACGCGGTCATGTTACTTGCTCTTACGGTAAAAAATTCCAGAGAAGAGAACAGTTCGGTAGCTTGATCATGAGGCCGAGAATGTACGATACCAATATACAAGCACTGAAATTGCCCAAACTACTCGGCGCTACGGACCTGACCCTCGGGGCAAGGGACAAGGGTTTATCGAACTTTTGAAAGGGCTTTGTGCGTGACAAAGCTGTGGAGTTGCGCGCAAATGATCAGATTCGAGCATGACTTGTAGCTCTAAGCTCAAGGAACTCTCAGGGATTAATTCGGCATCCCGGGTCCTTTGCAGATCCCGTTCGCTGTGGAAGAGAACACCTTCACGACCTCGCGCAGAGATGCTTTACAAGATGTCCGATTCCGCGAGGTGGACGGTCCCACAACGAGGTAGGATCCTTTGTGGAGATGATTTTCTAAGGGCGAAAGAGGCAAGGTGACAGAACGTCGCATGTGGAATGCAACGCAACAGCCAAAATGAGATAGTGAGGACGCCCAAAATTATGTCTTGCTAAACTGTGGGTTAATCTCCAGAGAGCCCTATCGTCTATGAGAGCCTTTGTTTCACTCAATTGTCCTGGGGTGTACAAATGACATGTCTGAGCCCGTTTCCTTACTATGTAGAATATGAACACGCGAAACGGAGAACCAAGTTTTCGTTTCTTCATGGCGATTCGCATGGGCTACCGTTGGCTGTGGCAGTGCCAGTGCCGCTGTGTATCAGCCCTGAAGCCGGTGCAACTTCTCTATGGCAATACTGCCGCGGTTCAGCTGGGGTGGAGATTTCGCTCGATGCGCGCACAGGCAGCTAAGCTAGTGAGGCCGCTACCGGTCGTTACTAGTTGAGGTGACCGGAACAGGACCATCGTAGGTGGATGTAGGAACTATTCCGCGGCCGATGAAGACGCTATAGACGTAGTCTGGTCGGAAGTGCTCCCCGTGGCGATCAGTGATTGCGTCGATCCAGCCATAACGAAGCATTTCGTTTTGTGGCTTCACCAAGTGGGCATCGGAGGGTGGGGGATTATCCTCAGCGTAATCTAAACGGCAGAAGTAAGTGGGATTTCGATGCGCGAGCGCAACGGCCGATCTAGATCAGGTCAAGCACGTACCGGGGGGAGAAAGGACCCCTCGCCGACTGTCACCTGCTGTTGGCTCTAAAACACGTCCAATGTGGACTTTCTTCATATTCCCCTCCCATCCCATCTTCCGACCTATCTCGACCTTTACACCGTCCCGACATTCTGGTAACGAGCAAATACGGCGAAATTGACCTGAACGCAGAGAGCATGGATCATACAACATGGGACTTCAGGATGGCCAACTTTGGCAATGGCCCGTCGGGACAGTGGCCGTCCGTTTCGAGACTCGACGCCGCACCAAGACGATTCCGCCCCGTTGTTCAAAAACCGGGCTCGATACCAGCGAGATGACCGAAAAAAAATGGGTTGAGGTGGCAATTGGTCTCGCTCTTAGAGGAAGAGAAACGTCCGCCACAAACATCTGCGTCAGCGTCAACTCCCCAGGATGGGCTGCAGGAAACCTCGTCCGAAGAGGTCTTCTCGCCCGGGAGAGCCCGGTCTAAGGCAGGAGCATCCAGGAGACCCTCTTCCAACAGAGTCTCGTCCGAAAGGGCCTCGGCCATGGGATCCTGCGTGGGTGGGCCAGGCGATGCGAAAGAGAGGCATGACCGCGATACATAAGAATTACAAGTTTGGCAAAGAATGCAACACTAAGGCAGTCTTTTTCTTCTACAACAAGATCCACGGCTTCTGGGACGGCTCAGTCTATACCCCAGACGGTGAACCGCTGCCAGAGGCGGACGCAATCGTACGTACAAAGCCACATGGTACCTTTTCGATGGATGGCTAATGATGGCGGCAATTACAGATACGAGATATACTGAAAAGACAGGTCGTGTCCAATGGCGAGCTCGTCCGACACACCGCGAAAGAAAGGAAGCAGATGGCCAAAGTAAAGCCCTACAAAGTGCAAAAACAGACAACGGAGCGCAACCTGCGGCGCAGAAAGCCACCCGCGGATGCCCAGCGAGCATCGCACGCCTCTCCAGCCCTCACGCAGATCACAGTTGCGGGAAGCGAGTCGGTACTTGGGGATGGAGGCGCGAGCATATGGAGCGTGCCGGGTACCCCAGCGTCTCCGACCGTTGGACCGCTGGACAACTGCAATGACAACGAACCCCACGAGCCCGAGGATAACGACCTCGACGAAGAGATAGCCCCGACTGGTCTTGCCGTTTCTACAGCCGATCATGACCGGGATGTGCTCCGTCGCCAACAGGGGCCAGGCACATCTCCACCTGCGACGGAACAGGATGCCGAAGGTGAGCCCTATGAGGCGGCAGACGGCGGCGCAGCTCTTACGCATGATGGCGCGGGCGAATCAATCCACTTCGAAGAGCCCCATGAGCAGCCAACGCCTCACGAAATCAGCGCGATGATGCCCGATGACCCTTGGATGATGGACATGGGCATGGACATGGCAGGCTTTCAGGGCACGGCGGACTTTGGCATGGACTGCCTCAGTGATCTGAATTTTGACATCGACATGGCCATGAACATGCTCAGCAATGTCGGCGAGCTGCAAGAACCCCTGGGCAGCCATAGCCCAAAGGCGCCCACGGCGAGCTTGTCTGCGACCAGCACCGTTGCATCAGCTGCATCTCCTCATGAAGCAGCTGGCGAAAACCGGCAGACCAGCAAAGCGACCACAACCGACGAGTCAGCGCCACAACAAGCTCCCGAACCGGACTGTTCGGCCACGGCCAATCCCAATCTCAACAACGAGACGACCAGAGCATGGCAACCAGCGCCAACCTCCTCCGCACATGCACAGCGGGCGGTGCGGCAACGAACGACCTCGACGGAAATAAACAATACGCCTGGCCGATCCAAAACACCAAACCCGCCCGTCACTACCACCCAAAAGCCGTACCGCTGTACGCCGGAAGAAGTAATGATGGCCATGCAACAAGCTTTAGTCGGCCTGATCGCTGAAAGAGGCTGGAACTTGGGCCCCTACCAAGATTTTGGCGGGGTAAGAGAACCTCATCCACGACTAAACATGTCGATCCCCGTAATAGCGTAAGTGAAATACGAGGGGTGAGCGGAGAGGTGTCAAGTGGCGCGGGGTTCATCATTGAATGGAGAAGCTGGTTCTGGTGCAGGGAAGTAAGTGGGGGAGGGGGAAAAAAAGAAAAGAAATGAAAAAGGAAGGAAGGTGTAGGGTAATTAGTACTTGGGCTGATGCAAACCCGATGGGCGCGCGTTCACTTAAAGGGCTCAGTCAAGGTGACACAATAAATGATCGAGCATTATTACAACGGGATGTATTTTAAGAAAGAAAGAGAGACCATGGTTGCTCAAAGTTTCCACCGATTGATTGAGACCATCTTGACCGGTCAATAAAGAGCTTGACACGGGGACTGTTATCCCGCGCATAAAATGCCCTCACCTGTGGGCCTTCCAAGTAATTGCGGAACAGCCATCCAAGATATGTCCCTTTGTGCCACTCGCCGTCGCTCGATAGACCATCTGCTAAAGCGCCAATTTTTTGCAGAACATGTAAGTCTTCCCTTAGCCTTTGTTGCCATTCGACAACCTGAGTCTCGTCGACGGCGCCCGATGGTATGACGATGATGATGGTCTTCAGCCGAGGGAAACGGGCGAGCGCTTCAAAAATCAGGAACACGTCGGGACTATCGGCAATATCGATGGCGATGTGCGTTATAGATAGACTGAGTCCCCTTAATCGGGAGCTGACTACTGTGGCCGCGGGAACGAGAAACACCGTTCGGGGGACATAAACACGTTCGGGCATCCTACCCGGAGACCTGCACGACCGCGTACACCGGACCCACTCCCTCCTCGCCTCACGACATGCCAGCGCTACAGGTGGTAGACGGCTGGCTTTCGCGTGCCGATGATTGACTGAAGCTCTGTGGCGGCCTTCTGAGAAGGAGCAGACGACTACGGCAGGATCTACGGCGTCAAAGGCCGTCTTCCAGATCATCAATCGAATCTCGACTGGAAGGCGGCTGAGATGTGGAAAGCATGAAACGGTCCCGTTTTTGGTTCCCCTGACGTCCTGGTTTAACTCTTCGTTCTCTGTATCTATGTCTCCGGTAGGCGAGAACCCATGATTGTGCACGTAATTGGACGCCATCGAATCAGCATTTTTCAGACTCGAGGATTCGCTAGGAGGGATAAGGTCGACCGGCGCGAGGGAGAGGGAGGGAGCGAACAGAGCGCTTGGGATACCTTGCTGTTTCTTATATCCCGCTCCCCGTTGCCGTCTCCTCGAGGCTTTACAGAGTGTCAGAGGATTAGGCACAAAGTCCTACCATGGACGCTAGAGCCCGTGGAAAGAGCCTTGCTCACGCTTAGAGCAGAAGTCTGAAGTAGATCAAAAAGGCAAGTTGAAGAAAATCGATCGGTTCCTGGTTGGTTGCCGGCTGACCCTTTACGAAGAAGCCATTGTCGGACTCGAAGGTATCCGTCATGTGACACATCATGAGTGTAGCTAAGCTTGCAGGCAGTTTCTCGTCTATAAGTAGAGACGAGGCACGCCTTCGTGTGGGGTTCGGGTCGGTTCCGATGACAATCGATATGCAAAAACCAAAGTCCACCCGTATCGCTACGGGGCATTACCCACGCAGGCCATTTGGCGGCAACTCGGGGATAAGGAAGCAATCACAACGAACCCGAACATCGTACGCTTACTTGCGACGACAAAAATGGGCGAAGAACAAGACCTCTTATGTTTCTAGCACTGGCAGAGACGAAGGGACAGAGGCTCAGCATCGGCTTGAGCCAATGGTGGTGGACAGTGGTGATAAGATGAACAAGACATTGGCTGGAGGAGACGATAGCAACCCGGATGTTCCTGACATCGTGATTCACCCGCCGTCGGATGACGGCGATGTTGATATGGAGAGGAAAGATGAGGATGTGGAGACACTCTGTGCGAGGATTGACGCCCAACTTGCGGGAGTTTTTGAGACGAAGGTTTCAAGGGACGCGAGACTCCAAGCTGAGGCCGACATCACTCGTCAGACCCCAGAGCGGAGCGCCGTGCAGAGGATAATGCCTCAGGCAGTCAACCTTGGATGGGTCTCTCCGGTCCCTCCGGAATAAACCTCATCCCATCTCCGATTGGCGGGTTGGCGAGTTGGCGGACGACCTTGGGGCATTCCTCGCCAATCTAAGCTTCAGCAAGTTTCCACAATTGAGTTCTAATTAAAAAAGACAATTCGAGGTAGAGAGAATCGCAGGTCGATCAATTCAACCCAATAATCTCACTTAGTCACAGTCTGTTCAGTATACTGCGTTGATTTCCTTCTTCTTCTATCTAGAGATGCTCGCTGAGACGGTAGATGAGCACATTTTCGGTCAATTTCAAGGGATTACCCGAGACCCCAGAGAGCGATCGCTGACGTACCCTTGCATATTCAAGTGGAGCATTGTTTTATCTAATCACACGGACAGCGTGGATGTTGATGTCATCCCGAGTTTTTATCACTGACACTACTAGGAAGCCATGGACGTCCCGCAAGCTGTGTGATTAATAGAAACCCGATTAAAGATTGATGGTAGTTTGGCTTTTGCTGTTCCTGCAAGCCTGCAGCTGTTTTGCCTAATGCACATTGTCCTTTTCTACTATATGCCTTCATGCACGGCTTTCCTTCTCAACCAACTTGCATTCGATCACGCTCTCCACGCCGTTGGCCCCGTGCCAGAATCTAACAATCTCCAGCCCACCTACAGCCTCGATGAGGCCACGCCAATCATCCTCAGTGCGCTCCTTGGAGCTCATAAGACTCATCATCATCAAGTCAAGACTGGTTGCCTCCCAGTGTGCCCCTGTTGCGGGAATCACATATTCGTTGATTAACAGTCTGCTGTAACCAGGCTTCATTGCGGCAGAGACGCGTGAGAGGATGCTTTTGCATACACTATCCGGCCAGTTATGCAGGCAGGAATGTATGTAGTATGCACGGGCACCTGGGTTTCAGATGATCAGCAATCTTTCTCGTCACTACTGAGTCCGTATGCCACCCCTTACCTTTAATTGGCTGTTCGGTGTGGAAATCATAGCACATGGGAGTGATAGAGGAGCTCAACGACTCGATGCTGCTGATGACGGCCTCTACATCCTGCAGATATAGCCTTCCTGGAGTGTCAGGATGATATCGCTGGAATTCCTGCAGATCGTGTCCTCTATTCCCTCCAATGTCAACAAGAAAAGGAGCATCGACAGAAGTGTCGGCGCCGTCCACGAGCCTGCTTTGAACGGGGTAGATAGAACTGTCCATCCATGGCGTACGACCTTGTCGGTAGCCTGCCATGTGGTCATTGAAATGGGAACCGCGCCCCAGGGCTTGCAACCAGCCGAAAACATCTAGTTTCGTATCATAGGCCATCATCAAAGATGTGTCGCTCGCGTCATCAGGGTTTTCAAATCCCCGCCTGCTTGCAAACTCATGAAACCTGATCATGGCGGCGCTTGTACTGGACAATCTGATTGCAGACCTTGACTTAGCTGCTGAAGCTTCGACTAGAGAACGTGGCCGCAAAGAGACTTACGTGGCGAGGTAGCCATTCCCAATGATGTCCAAGCTCAAGGCTTTGCTGTACTTCGTCGGTTTGTATTCGTCGTTGCCCGTTTCCGTAATGTATCCCATGGCACCGAGATGGCGCATCATTTCGACCTGTCTGCGACGTAAGCTAAACACTCCCACACAGCATGTCAGTGGGGCTATATCTGACCTAGCAGTAAAGGGTCGACACGGAGATTTCAGCCAGCTCGTGAACCGACTGGGGCCTATCCCCATTGCCCGCCATTCGCTTCCATAATTTGACTTCGACCCGAAGATAAGGGCCGAGAAAAGCAGCAGTCTTGCCAGGTCAGCCTTCCGTACGGGACGGACTAGAGGTGTGAGATATCATACCTGAGCCCAGCAATGCTTGGCCATGGTCTCGCGTGGAGTCTCGAGGCTTTGCACCAGAGTTCGGGCTAGAAGCAAAAGGTCTTTGCGGCCCTCATCACCCTTTGCTGGGAGTGCTTCATGCCCCTTCCTTAGTTCATCGAGGAGGGAGGAAACGGCGTTGATGTTGTTGGGGGTCGTGACGATAGAGATGTCAACGGCAGATCCGCTGGAGCCTGGCATCATGGCGGGCATGTAAAGGATGTTCACTTCCTGCAGAATTGAAGCAAAGAAGAATTGAAGCAAAGAAGAAAAGGCTGGAAAACGTCGTGGGTGTGAAGAATAGAGGAATATACAGAAGTCAAAGGCTCAGCTTGAGAGAAAGACGCGTTGATAAAGAGGATAGCA